GACCAATAAAAGAGAATGGGATATGGAGAATAAGATATAATAAAGAGTTATACAATTATTTTGAATTGTCTATTAACTTTCTAAGAGTTATACAAATTATATAAGGAGCCAGAGATCTCAGTGACGATAAAGCTTAAAAGACTGCAATGGGCTGGGCATGTACAGAGAATGGATAAGGAGTGTATCCCAAAGAGAAGCTAATTTCTGTTAGAGGCTGAGTAAACCCCAGGGCCTAGTGCAGCTGGAACTGGTCAACTGAAAAAAACATCCAATGACCTCATTGGGACTTGAATCCGCGACCTTCCAGCTTGTAGCATAGCCCCTCAACCACTACACTTAATTAAGTAATTTTCCTGGGGAGTAAAGCGCAGCTGGCACGTAAGGCTCACAACCTTACCGCCATCTTTGAGCTGATTGTCTAGATAGTGTGGGACCCTCAACGTCTCACAACCCTAGGGGACTTCACGGCCTTGTACAGGGATAGCTTTACTCTTTTACTTTTTCTCTTTATCCCAAAGAAAATATTATATATTACAATATGTTGTAGGAGATGTGCTGGGAAACCAAGAACTAAATGGCTTGATGTGGTGGAAGATGTGAAGAAGTTAATGGGTGTAAGGAATTGGAAGAGAGCAGCACAGGATAGAGAGGAATGGAGGGACTTGATATGGGAGGCCAAGGCCCGACATCGGCCTGTTGCGCCATAGGAGAAGATAATAAGAACATTACATGATTTTCAGCCTACAGAAAAGCTACTTGTGTGTGCACGTGGGCAGGCAGGTATGCATGTGTGCACGTGTGTGTGAAGCTGCAGAAACCAAACTATTTGAAAGGTTGACAATGGAGTTCGTTACGATTAAGGTGGGAGAAGATAATAAGAACAGAAATGTACCACACACCTCTGCTGTTTTGCTAGACTACTGTTGTTACAGCAGTAAAACCTAAAGCATTTACTCCTCTATTGCAAAATGGATGATACAGAAAGGGAATTAATTTGAAAATATATGTTGAAAGTTGAATTATACAGCATATTAATAGAGTCTGATAAAAATTTTGATGATCACACCTGCTTTCTCAAACTGCCCTATCACTCGACCTCAATCCCATACAAATTAAAAATTATTACATGAATAGACAGCCAGACATAACTGCATAATAAAAATTTCTCTCAGGAAATAAAACTAACAGAAATGTTAAAAGATGATGTACCTGAGACAATGATTCAGTTCCAGCCAAGTGCCTGTGTTCACACTAAATCCCCTTATATCAAGCTGATACTGTCGGTCCTCTACTTCTGAGCCTGGTACATACAGTATGCGAGTCTGCTCAGCCATGTGATATATGTCAGAGCGCACCACAGTACGTCCAAGTGGATTGTCTGCCTGAAAAATTGGGTAGCCGAATTGTACATATTATAACACAACGGCTCTCCTCATATTATCACTGTATATGGGAAATCTCTTATTAATATAACTAACCAACAAACTCAATGAGGCTGAGCCTCTTTGGAGAACATGACAGTCATTAAGCTGGTCAATGATTGGCCTCCCAAGTTGTTTCTTCCCTCCATTTTAATGTTATCCTCCCATATATGTCTAAGCCTTACAAGCTATCTGTTAACAGGACGAAAAAAGGACAAAGGAATTTGCCAGATTATTAGGTTTATATTAACTGAACCTTAAGATTGCATTAATTTAAGATAAGTGAACTTTGTTTATGACTTTTGATTTTTCTCTCAGGACTTTAACTTTTGTGTTTTGTAATTGAACATTAGGTGTGTTCAGGTTAAGTGGTTATATACAACTGAAATTACCTTGAATTCTATAATTCTGAGGAGAGGTGTTAACAGGATGAAATTTAGATTCAAATTGTGTTATGTTGGCATGACTGATTGGGAGTAAGTAGTGCTGCGCGTTGTAAGTCTGCATACTGTATTGAAATAAACAGTCACATAGTAGCCATGTAGCATCCTAGTTTGTTTACTTGATACAAAGAAACAAAATTTACAACACAATAAATTAACAATATCTCATCCCCTTAAACTTTTCTAACTACAATTACATAGCATTTCTCATCACCTCTATCCCAACCCTCACCCTAAAACCTACAGTTCTCAATAATCATATACATCTCTAGTCCATTTTTCTGAAGAGAACCCACCTGCGGTGTAAGAGATATAGCTTCCACCTGCAACAGACAAACATCATGCAAGTCTCCAACTGCAGTCAGTTCTGAAGCAGGGAGAATTATTCTAATATTGCATGTGTCCAGGTACAGAAGTGGTAAAGTACTGCTGTTGATGTGCATAGCCCAGTTCATAGTTGCACCAGGAGTTCTTTGTTTATGTTCTGGCAGCAATAGGATCGGATACAGAACTGTTAGGAAATTGCTAAGTGTCACAGCTGAGAAGACAAAGTCCACAGGCTGTAGTTTCACAACAATTTCACTGATGTAACGTGCAGCTGCAGTATCACCCTGTAACCTATGTAAGAAATAATCAGTGTGTTAGATATTCAAACATACAGATGATGATTTTCAATACAGCATCATTCTCTCAGAAACACAAAGTTACTCAAAATATACAGTGTGTTCCATTCAAACCTCCCACATTTTAATTGATCACTGCGAACAAATTGTGATAAATTATGGATTATAATTAACACTAGATGGAAGAAAAACTCAAAGAATTTTATTTCCGTTTTTCTTCGCTGAAGCTACAGTATCTGGCCGCGTATACCTTGACATGTCAGAGCAGTTCCTATATCCTCAGGTAGCCGATCTGCAGCCTAACATAATCTTCCAACATGGACCCCCACACACGCACACATTAAGGTTTGGATATTTGGAGGTCCTCAATGCCACCTTCCAAGATAGTTATTTTGGATGTGGCAGACCAATTCAGTGGTCACCACATTCACCGGACCTCACTCTGCTCAATTTCTTCCATTGGGGTTATGTGAAGGACTGTGTGCTTCCAGTGAATGACCTCCCAGACTTACGAGCTCGCATCCGTGAAACAATTGCTACTGTACCAATGGACATGTTGGAAAGAATGTGGCAAGAAACTGAATACAATGTAAGATTTGAGGCTTTCACGGTGGTGACTATGAAGAAAGCAGTCTGAAGCAGTCCCTGAAGATGGAGGCGATACGTTCCTCCGAAACGTCGGTTAACACCACATATACATGGTGCCAAATCCCAGAAGACTGCTTTCTTCAAACTGAATACAGATTGGATATTGCTCATGCTACCAATGATGCACATTTAGAGGTTTATTAGTGTGTCAAATATAATGTTTTGAGTTGTTCTTGTATTTCCTTAGCTTCATTTTCCTACAATTCATACTTTCTGTTATCAGATCTGATAAAATGTGGAAGGTTTGAATGGAACACCCTATATATATATATCAAATAATGCAACTGATGCTCTTGAATTAATATCTGCATATGAAGTAGATCCCATGCATGAATGAATAGTTCCGAAGCTCTTAACACATTTATTTTATAACAGCACTAACCTGTGTGTCAGGATAACTTGGTAAAGTGATAGGCTATGGAACTGGAGAATCTGTTTTTAAACACCTTGTTTAAAACTTTATGAATTAGTAGTGTATGCTGTACCACCATCTTGCATAAAACAACCGCAAGTCTTTTCTCTCTTTGCAATGCTCTCAAATAGGACCAAATAATGTCACTAACATAGCACTCTAAATTTGTAACCTGTTAAAAAAATTAGTTCTACTATTCATGTAGTAGTAATGGCACACTGCACACCTATCTTCTGATCATGAAAGTGTCCGGATCAATATTGCTCCTATGTCTATTGTTTTGAGCAATCACATACCCACTCAGATAATTCACCAATTCAGAAATCACTGATGAAGCTGGAACTCCAGGATACTTATAGTAAAATAATGTTTTACAAGATTTATATGACTTACTTCACACACATATTTATCATACAGAAAAATCTGCTGTTCAAGAGTATATTTCACCACCTAAATGAAATAATGTAAATTAGAACACAAGACAGACTTCTGAATAATCTTATGAGGAAAGAAACACAAACAGAACTGATAGCATATCAGTGAATAATTTAGACGCAGTGATAGCTGTAGGTACATGGTATACAATATCCAAGACAATGCATAGTAGCACAACAGAAAGTCTACTTGTTCATCTGTCACATAAAATAATGCTCCACTACCACTTTCTTGTTTTTCTTACCATCAAGCAAACTCAATTCAGTTATTCAAGGAAGACTGTAATCTCAATTTACTCCAAGCTCTTACTGTTCTGGTTCTCAATAAATTTCAACGTGGGCTCCCTTGGTGGCACAACTAATATCCAGACAATATTCAACCTTGTTCCACGTTGCCTGAATCATGTGTAGTGTTACCGTAACCACAGAGCCCCTTATGCGGGCTTTCAGGTGTTGAAAGTCATTGATCTTAACCTGCACATAATCCGACAACACAAAATCAAGTGGGGTAAATATGGCGATCCAAGAAGCCAAGCAATTGGTCCACCCCCCAGCCATCTCTCTGTCCAGGTGATCCCTAATATAGTGGTAGAAGTGTGGCGGTGACCCCTCTCGTTGGAGGATAGTTTGAGGTGATAATTGGGGCAGCACATACAGCTCCAACAGGTCCAAGTATCAACGTCTGGTTACAGTCTTTTCTGAAAACAAAACTGGTCCAATCAACTTGTCGTGCAATAAGCCGGCCCAAAAGTTACTCTAGGGCTGCCTCTCTCCAACTCACATGTAACATGTTGATTTTGACTGTCCCAACAAATTCTGCAGTTGTACCCCTTTATGACTCCACTGACATGGAACATCGCCTCATCCAAGAAGCACACTTGATGGTGGAAATCAGGCGAGGTGTCAATTATTTCTAGCATGTCCACAGCGAAATTTGTGTGTGCTACTTGGTCACTTGGTTTTAGTGCATGAATCATTTGAATCTTGCACACCCTTAAGCGAAACCTCTTGTTCAGCACATAGTACACTGTTGAACATGGAATTTGTAACTGCAAGCTGGCAGCAAGAATTGGTTTGTGCGGACTTTGGTGGGATGCCTCTCTAATGTGATTGGCATTTTCTTCAGAGGTCTGTGTCTTTCCAGGAGATTTTACACACAACAAACCACCTGCAGTCCTCAGTTTCTTTTCCCAGAACCAAATGCTTTTCCATATAGGAGGTTGATGTGCATATTGTGTTCTAAAATGACACTGGACAGATGTAAGAAATTGTAACTCTGCTAGCCACAACACGCACTGAACTTGTTCTTGTGGTGTCGACATCGTTACTCAGTTTGGTAAAGGTCACCAGCTGGCACATGCATGTGGACCAGGCATGAATAGAACTTTCAGACCTTTCCTTTCCGATGACATAAACTGGATATGTGTATGACAATTTGTTTCTGAGATACAATTTTTTTTTATTTTGGATACCTTTCATCCGAACACACTGTATTAAAAAAAAAAAAGAATGTACTCATATTACAGAACTCTGCTGACATGAACACACCACACACACGTTTTTAACATACCCAGCATTACTCTCAGAGCTTCGAGCATTTGCCAGTAGAGCTGTCTGTCTGCGAGTCCCCCAACGACTGTGCACACTGCGACACTTTGCACAAGTGAATGTCACACTAAGAAATCCACTACCATCATCCACATCTCGATGAACTGCATGAGGTGGTGATGAAGCAAGATCTTCTTGTCTACGCATCACCAAACCGACATATGGACCAAGCACCCAAGAAGTGCTTTTTAGTTTCCTATATTAACAGAAACAAAAATACAGACTTATTTTTATGAAATACAAGATGTAACAAAATGATGTGATGTGTATGAAGGGCACAAAAAAGTAAAATACTGAATTTTACAGGAAAAATCCGATTAGCCAAATCTACATACTTTGTTTATACAATGGAATGATGGGAGGGTGAATTAAGATGAAACCTCACTTTTATTCTTTTTGATAATTCATGTAAGCACTAGCTTTGTACCTAAACTGGCATACTGCCAAGGGAAAAGACAGGCAGATATTACTAAATTAAATTAACTGTTGAAATCAAATAAAAATGACAGGTGAGCAATCAAGTGTTCTAGTTCTACAACTAGAATTATCAGACACAAAGAGAGAAGAACATCTAACTATCAGAAAGGAAGTTTTAATAAAAACAAAGCAGGTGTAACAAAGTGTGAACACTGAACTAGTTCTGTTTCCCAGCCTGCTGAGCTAGCACAGGATTGAACAACCATGATTATAGTACGTTGTACAGTTAATTTCAGCCATTCTTTGCAGGAAGAATGAACATAATATTTACACTTTATCTGCCATGCATCACACTACTGTAATGGTACATGTGTGGCCTGGCTGGTCAAGTGTTATGGATTTCAATACCATTAAACCCAAGCTAAAATTCTGGTAACCACATACAATTCTACATAGTGACATGAACCAGAAGAGAACAATCAATTACTTTCAATTAACATACTTTTTCTTTAACTCCATTATCCAACTAAAAACTATACTAGAACAGCAGTTCTGCACGATCTCAACTTTACCTAATGTAATGCAAAATTCTGACATATGCCACCTTGCACTTCACTTTTAGATATACTGGTTGAAGGTCAAGAGAGGTCATGATATCCTCCATATCTATTGTTAACTTCAGATCATCTCTTGGGACACTGCTGTTCACTGCATACAGTGAAATTGTAAGTCGAGCAAGTGTTGACTGCATCCAGACTGTTATTTTCACTGCATCAGAATGCTCTGATAAACCACTTTCTGCAAAAACCAACAGAGAAATGACTTGCACACATAATATAAAATGACAAAGATTACTTGAGACTAACAAAGACTAGACTGGCTCACCACCCACATTACATATCACTTCTTATACGCCCAACTGTTTCATTAAAAATACAATACTTATATGCAGTGCACATAGGACAACAGTTACAATGCTTCACTCAAAAGAGAAATAAGTAAATGAGCAAACTTTTCAACATTTGATGATGATAAAAAAAAACTCTGGCTTTTAGTCCACAATCAAATTATACCAACCGAGCAACCACTGCTTGTCAGCAAAGTTAGTGCCAACTTTTGTGGATAGAGGGTGTCGCATGGTCAGTGCTACAGATTCCCAAGGCCGTTAATCTCGGTTTTCCATTCAAGTAGCTGCCCAATTATCCTCATGAGGCTGAGTAATGGGAAGCACAACAGACCACTGTAGGTCGCAGTGCAAGGGCAGAGAAGGCCCACCCCTTGTACATTCATTCATTGATTCATTCATGAGGCTGAGTGAACGCTGTTCTATACCCATTACTTCTCAGAAAAACTGGCAGTGGCGGGAATCGAACCTGGGACCTCTGGATCTGTAGCCATGAAGTCTGACCACTAGACCACAGATTATTAAGAAGTTCTTAATTCCTTCATTTATTTAATGATGTTTTCAACCTACGTCACACAGAGAGATGATTAAAAATACTGAACTGGTAAAAACACAACCTATTACAAAGTACTTACCAGGGGGAACCAAGGTAATACAGGCAACCTTGAGAGTCAACTGTTCTAGATCTCGCCAAATCACCTACTGCAAAGTTAAACATTATAACCCCTCCCCATAATCTGACTGGCTGATTCCTGTCTAGCTTACCAAAAGAAGTGGTCTAACATAAAAACAGAACTTCCAGAGCACACTAGTCTGCACAAAGAACATTTGCCCAAACTGACCATGCGAGCAGTCAGAGTATTACTTTGAGACCAGGTGCTATTTTGATTAGATATTTTGACTGTGTCTGCTCAATTCTTGTGAACATTAAATAATAACAACAACCTATACTAACTCTGGTAAACTTAACCCCCCCTCCCAACATGTAACTCTATAACTTCATTTAAAAATATGAAATACCAGATGCTTCAACATAACTCACGTTGTTCGTTAGAATCTTCTGTGACCAGAGGAGTGATTGGGGATTCCCTGCTGCCACTGCTCTCTGGAAATACTGTTGGACTAGCCGCAGTGGGTGGGTCTAAAACTGGAGCTGCCACAGTATTTGATGAGGAGAAACTGAAGAGGTGGAGACTGGAAAAAAATTCCAGAAGTCCAAAAAGCAACCCTGCCATCAGCTTCATCTGCAAGACAATTTCATAAAATTAGACTGACCTTAGAAACAGCATTTACTTGTAATTTAAAAATAAAATTTTATTTAATGTCATTAACTGTAATAAAGAGTTCTACATAACATATTATTGTGTTGAAATCTCAAATAGGTTTGCGGCTTTGGAAAACTTGGACACTGAGGTGGATCTTAATAAATCTTGGGAAACTATTAGAGAGAATATCAAAATGTCTGCCAAAGAGAGAGTAGGTTATTATGAACTGAAGAAGCATAAGCCATAGTTCAATGAAGGATGCTCAAAATTATTAGATCAATGAAAGCAGGCCAAATTGCAATGCTTACAGGATCCAAGCAAGTTAAATGGGGATAATCTGAACAAAGTAAGACATGAAACCAGCAGGCATTTCAGGAACAAAGAGGGAATATCTGAAAGACAATATTGATGAGCTTGCAATGAACAGTGGGGGTACGCGGTAGCATAGTGGTTAAGGTACTATGCTACAAGCCGGAAGGTCGCGGGTTCAAGTCCCGATTTGGATTTTTTCAATTGACCTAATCCTTCCGGCCACACTAGGCCCTGGGGTTTACTCAGCCTCTAACATAAATGAGTACCAGGAATTAATTAAACTCTGTGAAGCACGGCTGGTGCGTAAGGCTGACAACCTTACCGCCATCTTTGAGCTGATTATCAAGGTAAGGTGGGACCCTTAACGTCTCACAACCCTATGGGACTTCACGGCCTGTTACAGGGACAGCTTTAATTTTTTTTTTTGCAATGAACAGTAAGAACAAGAACATTACAGACCTGTATAGAGGAATAAATGACTTTAAGAGGGGTTACCAGCCTAGCAGTAACTTAGTGAAGGATGAGAATGGTGATCTGTTTGCAGATTCCCACAACATTTTGAATAGTTGGAGGAACTACTTCTCTCAGTTACTGAATGTACAGAGGGTCCATGATGTTAGGCAGACAGAAATCCATACAGCTGAGCTGTTAGTACCTGATCCTAGCCCTTCTGAGGTTGAAAGTGCTATTGCAAAATTGAAACAGTATAAATCGCCAGGTAGTGATCAAATTCCGGCAGAACTTAATCAAGTACGAGGTGAAATATTATGGTCTGAAATCCATAAACCCAGTCTATTTGGAATAAGGAAGAATTGCCTGAGCAGCGGAAGGAGTCTATCATTATATCAGTTCACAAGAAGGGCAATAAAACTGACTAGTAGTGAGATAGCACTGCTATCAACTTCATACAAAATTTTATCCAATAAACTTCTCTCAAGGTTAAGTTTATATGTAGAAGAACTTACTTGGGTTCATCAGTATGGGTTTCAACATAACAGATCAACTACAAATCAGGTCTTTTGCATTTGTCAGACATTGGAGAAAAAATGGGAGTACGATGAGACAGTACATCAGCTATTCATTGACTTCAAGAAAGCCTATGATACGGTTAGGAGGGAAGTATTGTACAGTATTCTCAGAGAGTTTTGGAAACCAATGAAACTAGTTAGGTTGATTAAAGTGTGTTCATACGAAACGTATAGTAAAGTCCGTGTAGGTAAACATTTGTCTGATAAATTTCCTATCCAGAATGGTCTAAAACAAGGAGATGCTTTATCGCCACTCCTTTTCAACTTTGATTTAGAATATGCAATTAGGAATGTCCAGCGAAACCAGGTGGGACTGAAATTAAACGGGACACATCAGCTGTTGACCCACGCCAATGATGTGAATCTACTGGGTGATAATGTAGATCCCATAAAGAAAAACACACAAACTTTAATCGACGCAAATAAAGAGGTTGGTCTAGAAGTAAACACTGAGAAAACTAAGTATATGTTGCTGTCTCATTGACAAAATGCAGGGCAAAATCATGATACAAAGATATGAAACAGGTGTTTTGAAAATGTGGCACAATTCAGATATTTGGGAACAACAGTAACAGATCAAAACCTGATTCAGGAGGAAATTAAGAGGAGACCATTCAGTCCGGAACCTTTTGTCTTCTCATCTGCTGTCCAAAAACATAAAAATTAGAATATACAAAACTATAATTTTGCCTGTGGTTCTGTATGGGTGTGAAACTTTGTCTCTGACATTAAGGGAAGAAGACAGACCGAGGGTGTTTGAGAACAGGGTGTTGAGGAGAATATTTGGACCAAAGAGAGATGAAGTTACAGGAGGCTGGAGAAAACTGCATAATGAAGAGCTCTGTAACTTGTACTCTTCTCAAAGTATAATTAGAATGATCAAGTCAAGGAGAATGAGGTGGGCAGGGCATGTAGCACGAATGGGGGAGAAATTGGAAATCGTACAGGATATTGGTGGGAAAGCCAGAAGGAAAGAGACCATTGGAAAGTCCAAGGCGTAGGTGGGTGGACAATATTAGAATGGATCTTAGAGAGATAGAATGGGATGGTATTGATTGGATTGATTTGGCTCAGGATAGGGACCAGTGGAGGGTTCTTGTGAACATGGTAACGAACTTCGGGTTCCATAAAATGCTGAGAAATTCCTGAGTAGCTGCAGAATTGGCGGCTCCTCCAAAAGGGCTCAGCTCCATGAGTGAGTGAGTGAGTGAGTGAGAGTGTGAGTGAGTGAGTGAGTGAGAGTGAGAGTGTGAGTGAGTGAGTGAGTGAGTGAGTATCTGAAGAATACTAAATCATAAATTCAATTTCCCTGCAATTCACTATTTTCTAGTCTTGTTCTACAAGACGAATTTTTATACTGAAAAACAGTGATGGAAACCAAAGACAAAAGGAAAGGTCCTGGTATAACAGACACATAAAACAGAAGAGGGCCAATGTCTTATAAAAACACAAGAATATGAACCTTCATGACCTTCTTTATAGAAGACAAAATACACTGAAGTGCCAAAAGTCATGGGATAGGTAACTAGTATCGTGTAGGACCCCCTCTAGCCTGGCGAACTGCTGCAACTCGATGTGGCATCAATTCCACAAGTGGACGGAAGACCTCTGGAGAGAAGTTGAGCCATGCCATCTGGATAGCCGCCCACAGCTCCCTGGTATTTGTAGGTGCAGGACTTTGGGTGCGAATGGACCTCTCCACCACGTCCCATAAATGCTCGATTGGGTTTATGTCGGGCGAACGTGGTGGCCACACCATTTGTCGGAACTCTCCAAAATGCTCCTCAAACCAATTCTGGACAACTCTGGCCCAATAACACGTGCATTGTCCTGCTGGAATATCCCATCATTGTGGGGGTACATGAAGTCGATGAAGGGATGCAAATGGTCACCAAGCAGTGTAACGTAGCAGTCACTGGTCAATGACATGTTTACATGGATGAGCACACCCAACTCATTCCACGTGAACACACTCCACACCAGTATGGAACCACCATCAGCCTGCACGGTGCCTTGTTGACAACTGGGGTCCATGGCCTCTTGGGGTCTGCGCCACACCCAAACCCTACCATCTGCCTGAAACAACTGATACTGTGACTTATCAGACCATGCCACATGTTTCCAATCCTCCAGGGTCCAATTAGTGATGTCACAAGCCCAGGTGAGGCGCTGTGTCCTGTGTCGTGGTATTAACAGAGGCATTCTGGTTGGTCTTCTGCTCCCATATCCCATGGAAGCTAAAGAATGCTGCACTGACCTGCTGGATATGCATCTGGTACCCCCTGCATTGAATGTGGATGTGATTTCAGCCAGTGTTGCTTGTCTGTTACCACGTACAATTCTAGCTAGATGCCGCTGGTCATGATCATTAAAGACCCGTGGTTGGTCACTGCGCTGTCCACGGTGGGTGGAAATGCCTTCCACAAGATATTCCCGGTACACATGTGACACCGTGGATCGAGGAATGTTGAATGACTGCACAACTTCGGAAATGGAATGTCCCATCCGCCTGGCACCCACTATCATGCCCCGTTCAAACTCTGATAATTCACGTTGGCTTGCCATGAGCAGACTGGCCGGTGTTCAACCTGACTCATGAGAGAACACCACACAACTGATACTGCTCTGGGCATTCCCAAGCCGTGAAGGGATGGTGGCGCCACTTAAAAATAAATTTACATACTGCTATCCCATGACTTTTGGCACTTGAGTGTATAATTTGATTTCAACCTACTGAAGTGACTAAATGAAATGAAGTCTGCATCTGCTACATCAGTATGGAGTGAATTTCTAACATTTTGAACACAATCTGTGCCTCCCTTATCAGGGGCTGATGTGACAGGCAACAGAGCTGTTTACTGTACATACACATACTGGTACCTTGTGAAGCCTGTTCTTTTTGTAAAGGAGCAGACCAATAAGAAAGCAATGGTCAGAGTCAGGCTGTCACCCATCCTACCTAGGCAATAGTCAATTTTGCAAAATGTGGAAATTCTACAACTGCTAGCCAGTGCTAACTCTTCCTTCCATGGATCCTAATGCCTGTGTGTTGATGGTTCTGCTTCACTGAAATATGGTGGTAGTGATGTTAGATGATCAACTTAAAGAGTAATTTCCACATCTTCACTGAAGTTATCAAAATCTAGCCACAGATCTCAATAGCCTCTTTCATAAGACAATCCATGTACACCATATTGCAGTTTCTGACAGTACTATATTATCTTGAAATGTATACAACATCATGATTTGGTGCTGTGTTCAGAAACCACAAACTTGTTCAGCCGTAACAGGTATATAAGCTGTGCATGTTCCTTACAGCTATCCCTAATGGTGCAGCCCATCTGTCCAACATACACACTGTTACATTCACTGTACATGAAACATGTATACACTACCACCATACAGAATTGATGAATACTTTTTATTTATCTTCTTGTTAAAAACACATACCTTGTATCTTCTGGATGGGTTGAACATTCCAATGTTTTTTGATATTTTCATTTTTCAGATTTTTGTTTGTGGTACACATCTGACTGTTATGTGAAAATTTTAACTGCATATCATCAGTAAAGGTATTAATGATCTCAGCAACAGTGTCTAACTGAACACTTTGCTGATTCCTGTATTTCACTAAAATGTATCATGTGCTGGGATGTTACGCTCCATGTCTAGAATCTGAGAGTCCTGCAATATTGTTTTCTTCCTCGGAATCAATGTTGACAGACTTAAAATAATTTCATCACAACTGTGTCATCTTACACTAAATATAATGGATCCCATCTCAGTTCTATCACCATACCTCTAGTTTGTGTATTATCAAGATCTTTTGAAGCCACATATATGCCGACAACTTCTTCTCATTCAAACCTACACTGGACACTTTCATGCCACCATACTCACATACAGTATACAGAGAAAACTGTTACAACAGTAAACATTCAGTTTGGAGGAAGCAAAAGTGAATATAACTTTATGTTCAAATTCATGACAAACCAGAGACATTAGTATTATACGAACTTAAATATCTATCAATTGATCTTTATTAGCAGTGCTGAAGCTCAACTTCATTTGGTGGGGTATAATGCACTGAATATGCAGGACTTGAACAGTGCAATGATAAAAAAAGGCTCTTCTCTCCTTCTCATCCACAGCAGAAAGTTCTAAACAGGCCTCCAGAAATATGGTTACCACTCACCATGGCCAAGTTATGGAGACTAGTCGCAAACATAAAAAAATATTTGCATGAAACATACTGCTAGTGTACTGACAAAAACACTTTCATATGTGGCTAGCTGATTTAAATTAGATTTCTGGATCCATGAGTTTCAAAGTACTCACTCTTAATAAAAGAGATAAAGAATCAACATAGCTACTTTATAAAAGTAAAAAAAGTAAAGTAAAGGTATCCCTGTAACAGGCCGTGGAGGCCCATAGGTATGAGAAATGTTGAGGGTCCCACATTTTCTAGACGGTCGGCTCATAGATGGAGGTAAGGTTGTCAACCTTAGTCACTGGCCACCCTTTATCCCAAAGAACATTCCAAGAATATTCCTGGTATTCATTTCTGTTAAGAGGCTGAGTCAGCCCCAGGGCCATATTGCGGCTGGAAGGATTAGGTAAACTGAAAAAATCCAATGACCTCAACAGGATTTGATCATAGCTTTGTACCTTAGATTATTCACCAGAATGATTATGAAGGCATTGGGTAGGGGGGGACATAAGGAATCTGGAAAGAAAGAAACCACACTACAGTATTTTTATTATACAGACACACTCCCATTAATTTTCTGTGACAGACATTATCTGAAATGCTTTCTCACCTGTTCCTGGGATACAGATATGCTGACTGGTGTTATATCAACATGTACACAGAAACCAAGGCTCCCAAGTGCCACTTTGTCATTCTGATACTTTGCAGAAACTCCAACTGTGGCATTAGCAGACACAGGCTTCACAAAATGAAGTTTTGTACCATTCTGCAAAGTGTAACAACTCAGATCTGCCAATGACAAACTCCATGGAAAACTGACTTTGTCTGGGGAAGAGGACAGACACAAATATGTTAATAGCAAATGAAACTTGGGCCTAGAATTGATTCCTTTAAATATAATAATGTATAAAAATGTTCAGTGAAAGAGGATCTGATATTAAAGTAAAATAGTATTAAATGTAATGCATCATGAAAAGTAGTTAATGTCATAAATTGTGATTACAATGACAAAATTGGTCTAGTTGAGAAGTTTATGTTATCATCTCAGTTCTCAAATTGTTAAAATTCTCATCTGACACTGAAAGAAATCATTCTTATATAATGAAGGAAGATCATATCCCTAACATAGCTGTGATGACACTATTGTGTTTGCTTAAATGCCATACATCACACTATTTCCAAAATTTTGTTTTAAAAAATCAGGATATCAGACATATTCACAGATACAATTTTCCAGTACCTGCAGTCTTTGACATAATTTATAAACTGGATTTTACTTTATTAGGAAATATATTTTACGCCCCCTACCTCCAAACCAGCAATTTCATGCGAAAATTTTCACAAGTTAATTTTACAGCATATTTATAACAAATGGAATGTACTGAATCACTCAGTAATGGCTTGTGATCATGTGAACAAGTGGGACCAGAGCCAAACAAACACCCCCCCCCCCATTCTATTTAAATGTTCACATTTCAAGAGTTTATGTCAAACAGTATCACCTCTTTTGCAACAATTTGCAAGGTACTCTGGTTTTCTTAAAATCACAAAATGCTGAAACTGCTTATTTAAAGCTAGTAAACATTCACAATTTCAATTATTTTATTAAAATATAACAAACAGAGAGTTTAAACAATAACATATGCACAAATTAAATTTTGTCCTAGGGCATAGGAACTGTGAACATTTATAGTAAATACCAGTGCAGACCCTTACCCAAATTTTAACATTCTTATTACTCACCTCTGGTCCATATGCTCTCAGGCAGCTTTACAGGTAATCCAGATGTATAGTGGTAAAGGCCTTGCTTCTGAGCTGCACTGCGCAATGTCAGAAATGGAAATGTCATGACCAGAACTTCAGGAGGGGGAGATGTCTTACTGTGATGACACTGTGCTAGAGCATCCTCTATTGACTGAGCCCCTATTGCAGATAAACTGGTTGTGGGGAGGTATATCACCAACTGAGCCATATCACCGCACAGAACCAAACCTCGCCAAACAGGAAACCAGTGGAGAATGTTGTCTTTGCTCCATTTTTCCTGTAAAAAACCAAGCAAATATCTTCACACAAGTTTTCTACATACATATATATCATATGTCTACATACACAGACCAAATAACAACATAACTACTCCAGCAGCAACAAAGAACCTACAGCCAAAGGTTCATACATAACAAACGCGATAATAACATTACACCAACATCCTTATGATGTGGGCAAATAATACACATAACATCCATGCCGCAAAGGGAATGCTGTGCAAATAAATCCAAAACAAAAGATATTGAAGCAAATATCTTTTAAACAATGAAGAAAACACTGGGATGTTAATTAAGTTCAATTCATTTTAATTAAGGTTAATTTATTTTCATCAAATGTCGTGTTAGCATGGATACAAAATTTTGTCACACCGTGCAATAATTTTAGCAAGGTAGAAGACACCTGATGATGGCTGTATACAGCTGAAACATTCAGTGCGGAAGAATGGTGACTAGATAATAAGCTGCATTTAAGACAGAAATATATGTGAAATAAGTAATATATTAATGCAACAGGTTGCTTAAATACAATATCTGAAATGTTCTTACTGCCTGTTCTGGAATTGTTAATGTGGAGGCTCTCTTGGCACTTTCTGATTGTGTTCCTCGACTGTGTGCCACAGGGGAGAGGGATGGCCCAGTCTGGGCTACCATTTGGTCGTGGTCTGAGCTGCTATGAACAGATTCCTGAGGCGTAGGAGCACGTCGAGAAGGGACGACTTCTATCCCAAAGCCTCCACTGGTTTCTGATGATAACCGTCTAGAACGATGATGAACACTGCTGCCACTGGATGTTTTACTTGTAACCGGGGCAGACAGGTCACTTCTAGTAACGCTGTAGTCAGGAGCATAGCGGAGCCATCGCCACATCATTGGGTCCACACAAGCACGAAGCTAAAATAATGATATCCAGATGGTGTAGGAAATATAAGGCAAAGCTTGCTGAAGTCTGATTACAATCAAACAGCCTCTCTCCAATTTATGTTTAACATTTAACAGACGAATGTTATATATATCTACAGCAAGTAATGGATGAATGTTATATATATATACAGCAAGTAACACCCCGCTGTGGCCCAATGTTATATTTACATAAGGCAGGACGTGTGCTCCCTTAGGGAGTGTTGGCAGTTTGATCTTGGGTTTGAAACCAAAACAAACTCATGCAAGTTCATGCCAGAGGTTCATTTGTTAGCTCTGAACAGTGAAATCGTTTATCATGGTACTGGTTTTGATACTATTTACGATTAGATATGACTATTTATGACCTGGTCAGCCAAATAGAGCCCAGCTTTGTTTTCAGAACTGAGGAGTAAATACTCATCTGTGCTTGCACTTAGTGCTTCTGAGCTTAAGGAAGTGCGACGTATTCAAGGATTGGTTTTCAGTAGTGAATTATCAGTTAGGAAGTCAGTGCCGATTTTCATATATTTCTTTATCAGTCAGGAAGTCAGTGTCAGACTGTCATATGTTTCTTTATATATCATTTTTATTTTGTGTCTCAGAAGAGGTATAAACCCAATTAGCCAGTATTACTTTGTGAGTAAAAGGCATCTTCATTACTGTGACTTTTGGTATTAGTGTCGGACTGGCACACTTTTCGACTAGTATTATAATTACTTTGCATCACTATTTTGCAAGTATTATTAACAGATGTTGTCAATCAACATAATTTATTTGATTTAACTGTAAACTCCCCTACCCCAAGATGATTCTTCAATCATAAGAGGCGAATATCAAGGTCAGTGGCATTTCTCGGGGGAGGCCAAGTTCATCTGGAGCCCAACTGAGTCGACTGGAGGGAAAACATTCAAAACACTGGCCAACCAAAGGGAAACAAGGACAATGCCGTGTGTGTTCGCTAAATAAGAAAAGCAGAAGCACCCTTTTGTATTGTAAAAAATGTGATGTTGCGCTGTGTGCCGTGGACTGCTTCGAGAAGTGGCACACGCATGTCAGAGTGTGAGGTATCATCAAGGTTGAAGAAAAAACTACGGGTAAATCCTTTGGAATTTCATAACATATACAATAAATATTATATTTTGCAGTTCATGAGAAAATAATCACAGTTCATTTTTATTTGTAAAAATTGCTCTTTTGTGCATATGTAGACAATTTTATTGTCTTTCAGGTTGTTTTTAATTCGTATTTCTATGTTGCATAGAATGGGAAATATGTATTTTTTTCTGAAAGTCTGCAATGTTAAAGACTTAGGGCCACTTAAATTCTGTCCACAGAGGGCTGTCAGCAATTTAAAAGTCTGTACGTTAAAGGTTAATCCCTCAAGCCGTTTTCATATCACCTCTACATTACCCTGTTGAGTAGTATTTGAATTCATGTGTAGCATCCTGTTCACTTAGTGTTCAGCATTTTCCCACACTCTGTGAAAGTATCTTAACAGAATTTATTGCCCTTATTTGCTGATCTGAAACACATTCACAACCAAAGGAACAGCCATGTTTATTGACTAACATGCATAACTACTGAATAAAAAAATCTGAGCCTGTATATAGCAATTCTAAGAAAACAGATGGCAAGTTTAAATATTTTTAAGATGCTGCAAACAGTGTACCTATGCATGTATAGCTGCTGTAGCAGCAGGGTAGCGAACAGCACGCATGGGTATGGGAAACCAGTTTGAGTGGTTAAAGTGCAACACAGTAATATTTGACCAATGTAATGTTTAATTTCTGAAAGCAGTGAACACACATTTAATTTTTACCCTACAATTAATTTTACTTACATAGTTTTTACACTTTAGACATCCATGAAAATCGCTGGGAATGAATAGTGTCTCAATTTGCTCGTGCTAACAATATTAATTAGGCAAAAATATAAATATTATAAAGCAATACAGAAACTGCCCGAGATTAGTAAGGAGGCTGGTACAGAACTGAATGCTGAAAACATACATAACTGCTTATGGCTCATCACCAGAATTTAGCACAAAATTATACTAGAAGCATAACTATTAAATTCTCTGAAAACAATAACAAAGTTCATACTGATAATAAAATATTGATACAATATTATCTATGAAATCAAGAGCAGATTAAATTTAGGAGATTTTTGCTACAATTAAGTTCAGGAAATTTGTATCTTTTCATGGCCTATCTAAAAATCCGAAGACTGAAAAATACAAAACTATAATTTTACTTGTTATATGTAAGTACAAAACCTGATCTCTCAGGCCAGAGGAAGAAGACAGACTAAACAAGCAATGCACTAGGTCAGGAAACAGTATCTAGAAGAAACCACTTGGGTGACAGGCATATACAGGAAAATAATATTAACACCAGAAAGATCAAGTGTTAATGTGTGGACACAATTCAGCTGGCTTGGGATAGAGTCCGATGGTGGAAACTTAAGAATATGGCAATGAACCTTCAGGTTCCATAAAACAAGAAAATCCTTCATCTGCTGAGTAACTTATCAACTTTTCAAGCAAGACTCTACACCATGAAATTGGTTAATCATTAAGTCAACTAGAACTGAAGTAGAGGTCAAAGGAAGAATATTTGTTTCACCCGAGAGCTCATACACAAATGTTTCCTCAAATCCCACCCATAAGCAGCCACTATGCTATTTTGTCTTATCAGAAAACTGACAGAAGCATTACATATATGTTCTTATATCCATACACCAACAGTTGAATATAAAATGCAAATTTCTTTGAACATTCTAGTAAAGCAGATGTAAACCAACTTATGTTTATTCTTTTCAAAGGGCAGTGTTACTTATTAACTACTACAACCTACTTAAAAAGTGACCATCTGTAAGACCACGATAAAGAAGGGAAAGTAATATTACAATAAGAATTTAGGGAAACAGTTTTTCATAATGTGGACTGGAGGAAACTATTTCAGGTTTCAACCTAGTGATGATAAGAGTGTGAGTTAAGTTACTTACTTTCTCTTATTTCATCAACGTACATTATAGATATATACAAGTGCCATACCTCACGGACATTAAAGATGAGTACAGGGGGATGATCTTGACTGTTTGGATCTTGTGTGCACTGCATTGTCAGACATAGTAATGGTTGTTGTATGGTCTGAATTTGATCAATGGTTTCTAGAGATGTAACATTTTCTGGTCCAGACAGAACAAGAGCCTGTTGCGGCTCTTCAAAGACACCTCCATGGGGGCTGACAGCACCATGCTTCAATGAAAACTCGAGTACAAACGCCTTCAGTGCACCCAAACTGAGGGTGAAAGCTTTAGTGTTAGGAGTGGTCACTTTCTGATAGCTCATTTCTTCCACGCACAATTCCAGGTACTCCACACCTGCAGAAGATACAGAGTGTTACCGTGATCAGACACAATTCATAGCGTCCAATGCATAAGATGGTGAATATGATTTTATCTTTCATGCACAAGCATAAGGGTTGTTCAAATAAAACCCATTTCCAGTGCTGCTGGCAAATATGGTAACTTGGAGGATTTCATCTGAACCCTCATAAAATAATTCCTCTCAAATATACTGGAACTTCTAAAAAAAAATTCTTTACAAACCCAGAAACATAACAGAATACTAACCAGTGACGTGCCGGGCATGAAAGCAAGGGAAGCATTGCTTCCATAGCTAAGAAACGAAAAGAATAGAAGTCACACATAAATAATTCAATTTGAATAATAAGGATGTAAATATTGTCATGTTCTTAAAAATTTAGTGCGTGCTAAAGGCCACATGCCTCTTCTCTTCCCCTGCTTGGGGGGAGGGACCAAGTTTCCTTTCATTAATCTTCGCACAATATCGTCTCACCCGAAGTTGTTACGGAAGCAGTTTTCAGTTTGATGGCTAGGCAAACTGTGTTCTTTCGATGGTTATATGAAAATTAACTGTTTATGTGTGATTTCAGTCTTGTTGGGTGTTATAGGTAACATTAAGTTTTATTAAAATATTGTAAGTGCATATTTAGATGGCGTAAGATTGTATCTGTGATCGTATTTTGAAGCATCAGAAAGAAGCTATCCGAGTTTAAGGGAAGCAAGTGTGATATTGTGGTACAAGTGGCATGGGAGTGATTAGACTACACACACAGGCCACAGCTAAAATGAATGCTGGCAGACAACGCAACTGCAACTGTGCAGTTGAAAGCCTTTTAAAACAGGGATTTAATATCAGGGACTTTTCTGAAAAGAAAATAATTATAGAAAGAGGATGACCGACATGCGATTTTCCAGAACTTAAAGCACAAACCAAATTATGTGTGAGAAAATTTAATTTGGAACAGTATTCTAAAACAGAGTGGCTATCTGGTTGCCATAATATAGGAAAATTGTTTTGTTGGCCATGCCTATTGTTTCTCAAAGAAAAAAAATGTATGGAACAAGACTGGGTTTGGTGATATCAACCCTCATAAAGCACTGAAACTACATGAGAACTCTCAGACTCACATTACTTCAACAATGCAACTTGTTATGTTCAGGAAATCTCGAATTGACTGTCAACTTGACAATCAAAAGTGTGTGACAATACTATAGCATAATGAAAATGTGAAAGAAAATATAGAAATAATGAAATGCTTGATTGATATCATCTGCCATTTAGGAAAGAGGCAACTTGCCCTCCAGGGTCATGACGAAAGTGTGGATTCTATCGACCAAGGTAATTATGTGGAATTAGTTCACTTGTTGAGGAAATATGATCATAAACTCAATGCTCACCTTCAGAACAGTACAGTATTTACAGGTTTATCGAACAGAATATAAGATTACCTTATTGACTCAATAAGTGACGTAATTCTAACCGAAGTAAAAAGAGAAGTTCGGTCCCTTTTGTTGCTGTAATGGTTGACGAGACAATTGACATTCGAAGCCAATCACAGCTCTCAATCATATTAAGATATGCAACTAGTGATGGTGAAATACAAGAACGGTTTTTAGCATTTTCGGATGTGAGTGTTGATCGAACTGCATCGGCGTTAGCTGAACGCATTTTAGACCATGTAGTTCAGTATGGTTTTGGCAGCAAAATATTGGCACAAGTGTATGATGGGGTGGTGGTCATGTCAGGTGAACTTAATGGGCTACTAACTAAAGTGAGAGACACATTTCCAAATGCCATGTTCATACATTGTACAGCACATAAGCTTTATACTTTCACAGTATGTCTCCAGTATTAAAGAGTGCAATGTGTTTTTCAAACCACTGAACGGCTTTTCTTCCTTTTTCTCTGCAAGAAGAAGTGAAGTGAACAAGAAGTGAAAAAGAGGTTGCCGGAAGTTGCACCAACCAGGTGGAACTATAACAGTCATCTAATAGAGACAGTATATGAGTACAAATTTGAATTGAACACCATGTTCCAAAATATAACTGAAAATCCAGATAACTGGGATAATGAAACATACTTTGCCGCTTGAGGATTTCTTTCTGTGTTGCAAGATTTCAACTTTAATTTTCCACTTGCTGATTTCAAAGATTTGTTTTCAGTAACCACCGTTCTTTTCGACATAACAAACAAAATCAAATGACATATCTTTTTGTATCTGTAAAGTGACCGAAGGAAAAGATATAGCCAAGAAAAGAGAAAACTTCTAGAACATATTCACTGAAACGTCCTCAAATGAAGAAATTGATGAACCACAGAGCAAACGATTGCGTCTTGACAATGCAGGAGACACTTCAGAAAACTTTATTATGAAATTTTTGATAATGTTGTGAAACAAACTGAATTAAGCTTTCAGAACTTAGAAAAACTAAAATATCTTCAATTAATAAATTCTAGTTGCAGTAAGGAGTATGAAAAGACATTTCCTGAAATTCCTTTTGTCACTGAAAATGTTGTATGTTATGTGAACTGATCATGACAATTCCTGCAAGTAGTGCTTCGGTTGAACATTTGTTTTCTGCACTGAAGAGAATTAAAAAACTTATGCGAGGAACTCTCAAGGGGAAGGCAGAATGTCCAGGTTGTCTCTGTTGTCCATTGAGAAGAAATTATTGGAAAACATTCGCAACAGTGTAGGCTTCTATGACCATGTCATCAATAATTTTGCTGCTAAGGACAGGAAAATAGATTTCGTCTTCAAACAAATTTTGGTGAGTTCACTACTATCAGTTAATTTATTAGATACCACTGCTTCCCTACCAAAAATAGTATCGCACGCCACTCATACTAACATTTCATTAGGTACACAGAAAACAGAATTGCAGCCTTTTTAAAGATAAAATTTCTTAATTCCATTACAGTGCAGTTAAAAGTAAATCTGTGTTCGTGACTAATTTTTTGTCCATCTGTTGTTGTTACATTTGTGCATGTCCATTTTTCTTTCTGTTCAGTGATATCATTCTTTTGTTTTAGTACCTGATGGTGGCATTATTTTCCATTTGCGCTGATTTCTTTTTTACACATTTCATCAGAATGTTCACTACATACTCCATTCCCTATAAGAAAGTATCAAATAAACCAAAACCACTGAAATTCCAGAAAAAGGTTGTGTACTATTAAATCTTATCAAATTTACCAAACAGATGGACAAAGGGGACAATCCATGCATGAAATCATAAAATGTCAGTACTATAATGCTTCAGGTAAGGTACCTGCAAGTTTAGTGCAGGTGATATAAAATCTCCTCCCCCCCCCCACAAAAAAACACTTCACAGTTAAGTGTACAAATGTACACTGTTCTTTTGTCAGTGTTTGGAAATATTTTATTAGTTATTGTGACAAAGTTTTGAGAAAATTAATCTGTTTTTAACTTGGTGCATGGAGGGTTGCTGTCTTTGACAGTAAACTGGTTTGCACCAACCCTGACAGTGTCTACATGTACCGTTATTAACCATGAAGGTATTCTGAGAAAGTTGAGATGTTTGTGACTTGATGGGGGAGTGGGGGCAGAATTTCCTGTTGCCGAATGCAGTATTTAGTACTGGGCCAGCCCCAGCTGAAGATTGACAAAAAGCACGAACTTCTACGGCCCTTTGAGTAAACAGTGTGACTGCATGATAACCCTGAACCTAAGACAACACCCTATTAGGAAACATGTCAGCACTAATTTTGTATAGTTATTACAAGCAAACATGAAAAACAATTATGTACATGAACACGTGTTTTACATTAAGCCAGTCTCTTCCTCCTCACACTGACAGTCTTCACCCTTCCCCCAACTTCATCACCTTCACTGTAACATCTCTTTCCTGGGAATCACAGCTTCAGATTCATAGCTCTGGTGATTCTTCAGACAAACTCACAGCTCATGACTTCTAACTATGAAGCATATATCTTGTCTCTCATCACTACACTGAAGGCATAGTATGATGCAAATGTTAGCATTTATTGCATCTTAGAAACACCAATCCACTAAAAGCCCACAACTTTTAAAAACATCAATATATTTCTACACTCTGAAAACGGGGGGAAAAAATCTGTCTTCCATTTGGGTAAATTCGCTTAGTGGGGGTGGAGTCCAACTGGGTCCACTCGGCATGGCAGCCACTGATTGGCCTATTGTAGCCTGCACCGGGTGATTATGACGATGGAGAATTTGGTAGAATGAAGATCGGCAGGGGAACTGAAGTACTTGGAGAAAACCTGCCCCAGCGCCACTTTGTTCACAACAAATCCCACTTGACCAGACCTGGGATCGAACGCAGGCTGTCACGGTGGGAAGCCAGCAACTAACTGCTTGAGCTATAGCGTGGCCTTCCATTTGGGTAAGTACAACTCTAAACCAAGACACAGATTTCATGTAGAGAACATGTTTTTGTTCACTAAGAGCTGGTAGACACTACAACAAAAAACACAGAATTGTAAGAAAATTTACATGGGTTTTGGCCATGACCACAAAAAATGAACACAAAATGTGGAAAAATCTTAGACTGCAAAAAAGAAAATAGGAGTCTACTGTGCCAGTATTGTGTCCAAGTTAATCAGTTTGTTCCTAAAATCACATTACAGCTGTATGTTGGGTCACCATTAATTTTACATTCCTGAATGATGTAAGTAAGATATGTGAAGCTCAAGATGAATGCATACAGTATTTTTGTTACTGCACACATATCCTCTTCATACCCTAACCATTTCCTTCAATTAGTACCCTTGTATCATGCGTCAGAATACTCACTTTTACATTTAACAAATTTTGTGTTGATAACACTGGAAATATTAACAAATCAAATTTATAACCCATTTTATATTAACAGCACTTGCTTTCTTAAATTGATGCAATTCTCAGTGATCATAATGATCCTTCAAGCTATGGTAGCAGATATCCTACATATTCCTACACAACTTTTAATTTGCTTTGAATGATGTATCTATTATTATCAATCATGTAACTCATAAAGATTCATTAGTTCTGCACAAAAGCAACTTAAGATATCAATAAACTTAACAGAGAAATCTCAAGGTAATGAGTTTTAAAACTCTGATGATAATTACCAGTATGTTTAGCAGCATCTGCTAGAAGTGATGAATTCTGGATGATGTCAACAGCTGAAGTGGGATCAAATTGTGACTGTATAATACTTGATATTATCATCAACTTGGCTTTTGTACAGGTCAGTGTAAGGCTCTCTGAAATTAAGATAAGACCTATAATGTAATGATTTTGATTCTTGCATAAAGTAAGCTCAATATTTCTCTTCTTGAATGTTAGTCACCTGCTCTTAACGTCTGATCTGAGAGTGGAATATCACAATTATTCCAGTAATGTGTTAGCAGGAGATTCTGTCGAGTGTATGCAAGATTGCTTGGCATTAAGAAGGTTGTGTGGCTTCCTGGACTTAGCACCAGATGGCTGCTCATACTCAGTAACTGTAACAGTAAACACCTACATGTATCGAAATAACATTCACCAAATCTAAAAGAGGTGATTATGTAATCTGGATATACACCATAAACCTGAGTTTAGATTGCATTTTCCCATGCAGTTACACAGCTGAAGTCATGAATTATTGGTCCTTTTATTGAGAAACATATGGACTCCTTCTGTACATGGTAACACAATGAATCCATTTTACACATGTGTGCATGAATTGCAAACATCTATGAAATAAAAACAATTCCTTGAAAATAAGTTAAAAGTTCTAAAAATAGTGTGGCTCTAAATGAAGTACTATGATACCATATTCCTGTGACAGTTTATGTATATTTTGATGTTTGTCATACCTTTTAACAAAAAAACTTCAACATTTCTTTTTCACATTTATACATTTCAAATCAACTTGAACTGAAATGTCTTCATCGTTTTAACATGGTTTTACAAGAATATTAAATAACATAATTTACTTCATATTAGCTTACCCCCACTTAATACAAACCTTTTAAAATCTTTCTAAATCTTTATTGTATCAGAACCGACAAACTGTAGTACTAAAAATGTGTTCTGCACTTAAAAGAATGTATGTGACTGAAATACTTTGCACATTGTGCAATACCAGGATGGTCTTGGTGATAAAGACATGCAATACACTACCAACATCCACTCTATTTCATGTTAACAAGTACATCAGCATGAAATATCCATATCTACATACGTACACAGATTCAAAAGAAATGCATGACAAGACTAATATATTGGAAATATATTTCTGTGAACTTCTAAACAATTAAAATGTTAAACTTCACTGCTCCACATTTTAACAAACTAAGAATTGGAGATAAAGTTTTCTGTTTTGGTTATCCAAATGTTTAAACTCAGTGAAAAGTTCTTAAAATAGTGTGATGCTAAATGAAATACTACATTTACCGTATTCATGTGATAATTTGCGTATTTTGACTATAAAAATGAATGTTTGTCATCTTTCAATGAAAAACTCAAACATTTCTTTTTAAAATTTATAGATTTCAAATCAACTTGAACTGAATTAAACATATTACAATCTTTGGAACTTTTGACTAAATTTGTTATCAGTGGACTACACTGTGTTAAACAAATTATCACTGGATCACAGTGGACCATATGGCATTTAACCATTGATCTCAGGATCACACAGTGTTGAACCATCTGACAAGTGGAGAAAAAGTGTCAAATTAATTAACATATTGAAAGATAACTTACTTTCACATCGATGTGGAAATGACAAGCATGGAACATATGCTGTGGGGGAGCAGGCAGTTGGCATGTAGTGATGACAAGCCTCCGTGGATACATGGGCTTCACAATTCTTGCATCAAGACACTGACATTCCAAGGTAACCTTTGGCAAGTGGATCATTTGCCTGATCAGAGGTTTTGTGTTCTGTAAATAAGTACATGTGGCCCCTTATATAGCGCATATTGCAACTCAACTTTATAAATGTAGACAATTCTCTGTTATTCAGCGTACATTATGAAAAGCAATCATAAACAACAAAACACATCAGTACTTGTATACAAAATGTTATTATGAATGTGTTTTTCTTTGGTATTTTGTGTGCTTTTACCTACTGAACAATTAGCTCTCAGACTCATGAAACTGCAGATCAGCATGGAATTTTAAAATTCACTGTGAACTATTCCACAATATTTAAAAAAAAAATGAGCTTAGAATTAAAAATTTCACCAACACATTTTATGGTACAATGCATTAAGAGGCAAATCAGATGACATGGTGTTACAGTAAAACAAAAATTGTTTTCAGAAGTATTTTACAATCTAAAGATTTCTTCGTGGTTCAAACAGGGTTTTATAAGAATACTCAAAGCCATATTCATTTCATATTATCCTACCCCAACTTAATACTAACCTATTGAAATCTTTCTGTATCTGTATTGTATCAGATCCAGTGAACTGAAGTATAAAAAGGTTTTTTAATTAAAACAATGTATGTGGCTGGCAAACTTCGCACATTGTGCAATAACAGGATTGTCTTGCTGATGAAGACATGCAGTACAGTACCAACACCCATTTTATTTCATGTATTTTACAAGTATGTCATCATGAAATATCCATATTTATGAACATATATTCCAAAGAAATGCATCACAAAGACTAATATACTGAAAACTATTTCTGCAACTTTGTAAAACAAAATTTTGAACTTTGCTGCTTCACATTTTGACATACTAAGCATTAGAGATGTTTTCTGTTTTGGTTATTCACATGTCTCAGATAAAGTTAATATTCGAACTGGTTATAAATTAACACATTTAAATACTTATAGCTACACAGACACATACTCTATGTTTTCTAGAAGCTTGAGGAACAGTTGGATCAAATACTGGATGGTCTGCCAGATGGATGTTGATTACAGGTTTGAAAAGAGTCACCTGGAACACCTGTTTAGGAATATTATTGTCCAGCGAGTCAAAGTCTTCGGCAGATGCTGGGGGCAACTGCTCTCGTGTTAGTTCTAAAATTGAACAAGGAAAGTTCTAAGATAAAATACCTCATAATGCAGCTACAAATTTATATAAATTAGCAACATATTTTCCATAAAACTTCTGCTGGTTGACAGAAAGTCTATGAACTTAACATTAAAAATTGATTCTTCACATCAATACTTTCAACACACATAAATAAAATCTATATGGAATTTGCAGATAACAAAAAGGGTTTTGTATGTTACTTAAGAAAACAATATCAACTGTTGGTATAATTTAGCATCAAGTGAAATTAAAAGATTATCATGTACATTGAACAAATGATGAAGGCAGAAGCAGCCACAGCCTATTTCAAGTACTATCCTGGCAGTGGCATGTGATGATAGTGAGCAAAATCATGAAACATTCAGTCAGAATAATTCATTTATTCAGCCAAGACTTGAAGGAATTACCTCTTGAAAACAAGTCAGAGGCCTGAATGTTGAATGAACCAACAGTGGTTCAACAGGTATTGTCACTCAATTCCCACATTATTATTCCCAATTTCATTAAAAATGACCCTTCAAATTTTTTTCTTGTAGTTCTATTACCACATCAATTCTCCATGTCTTACACTGAATGGTGTTCCTATCCTGCTCATTCTCGTTTACTTTTCAAAAACCTGAACAAAAATATTAAAAATTATATTTTCCCTTCTTACTTATATGCTGAATGGTGTAAAAACTGTTTTCTACCCATAGTTATGACCAGTAGGATAACTAATCATTCATGTGAACAGTTTTATATACAATGCAAACACTAAAACAGAACTTAAATCAAAATTTATAAATATATGTGCACTGAACATAATAATACTACATCGGATTTAAAAAGAATATATGCATTAAAGCCCTTTAGAATAGAAGTATTACAAAAACTGACTGAGATGTGATGCATCAAAAATCTTCTTGAAAAGAACAAATGTCTGACACAATTCTAAATGACATGATTCCAAGTACAATAGCTCTTTTAAGTTTAGCTGTTCATCTTGATAACCATTAGCCTATCATTCTCTCAGTACAATTGCAATTTATTTAATTTAGCTGCACCCCTGAAGGTCATATTTCTCCAAACTGTCTTTGCAAGGACAAGGTGTGCATATCTCTTGTACCTGGTTTGGGGGTGCTATATGGAGAGTAATCATACAGTCTAGCAGCATGCTGAAGCATCTGAAGACGGTGGAACAAGCCAGAACAAACTTGAACAGCAGTTGGTCCCACCACCACACGACAGAGAGACTTTTCTGAAAGGTTGCTGGAAGAGACAATGCATGCAGGAATTAAACAGTTAACCTGGAAAGAGTTGTTTATCACGATGGCAGCAATGGTTTTATTTTGTACCTGTATTCAAGATCACTACCAAGCTCAGACAGTCGCTCTGAGTTAAAATCATCTGGTAGCTCTAACATGTAGAGATAATCCACAGCAATTGCTGGACTCTTTTCTAAGAGTAATGCCTCTGAGAACAGAGAATAAAGGTTTTATGAAGAACTGCTAATTAAGTAAGATTTGATAGTTATATACACTGTCATTACTTAACTATAAGTTGAGATTTCTTACTATTATTGCAAATAAAAAAACCAGGTGTCATCTTATATTTACAAACATAAAACTTAAAAAATAATTATTCAATGAGTTCGGGAAAATTGACACCTGGTGCCTGCAGCATACCTCAATGCTCATATACACTCAAACAGCATTGATATGAGAATATTTATAAAATAATAATCATTGGATTTTCCTTAACGTCATCCCCATACTCAATGCAACTTATGAAATTCAAAATTTCTGGAGCCATTACAGTGAAACCAGAGACTCTTTTCGCAAGGTATGTTTCATAATGGTGCAATATCCACTGAGTCTCATTCCATTACTCCAATACCTTCACTATTGCTCAACAAAAATAATAATGCTGGTAGGACAATGTTCTCATATCAGTGCTACTCAGCTACATGCCAAATGTTTGTGTGGATGCGGTGACTATTGAGAACTGGTTTATTCTTTTATGTACTCTCTTTCAAATTGCTAAAACAGATTTGACAGTGAGGATTACTTTGCATGAGGCATTTATATCCTGCTGGAGCCAGACCAAACATTCAATAATTACTGGAAAATACCTACACAGACAAAAGAGCATACGTCCAAGATTTCAAACTTCATATATTTTTAAACACAGAATAATAATTCTGGTATCTTTTTCAGAACATGTCTAGAAACAATCAAACATTAATGTCACTTAACAGGCCTTGATGTAGGCACCATTTGTAACTATATACATCCAAGTAGCACTCTGTTTCTGTCAAGGTATGGTGAAGCACATCTGACATGACTGCTTCTACAGCTACAGTGATGCTCTGTTGCGGATGTTCAAATTCACAAATTTGTTTCTCACATACCCCCATATGAAGAATTAAATCAGAACTTCTTGGAGGCCAGGCTAATGATCCACATATTCCAATCCTTCAATTTGGAAACCTGGCGTTCAGAGCAAGGTGTCATCTTGTTGGAAAACACCAGCTGCATTTTCTGTTTCAATGTTGCATGTTGGGAAGGGGGGGGGGACCAACTGTTCTAACAGATCTGGGCAAATGTCCCTGATAATTGTTCTATCCACAAAAAATAAATGTACCATATGATCATGCTGTAGTAAATATATGTTCACCTTTGGTGTATCATATGCATACTCGAAGAATTCAAGCAGTTGTTGTAATCCAAAATTCTGCAGTTGTAATGTCTAATGCAACCACTAATGTGAAAGGCAGATTTGTCATAAACATTACCTGTTGTAAGTAGCTTAAATTGTCATCAATTTCACAACATGTTTTGGTTGATCAGTGACTTTCAACTTCATATCTTAGTTGAATTTTATATGCTTGTAATCGTAGGCACATTTGCAGCACATTCTGGTTCGTGGTCTTAGGTACAAGTTCCGTACATCGATAAGTGATAGATTTTAACGGGCTCCTTACAGATGATTGTCTGACAACTTTTGTAGTCTCTTCAGATACTTATGGTCTTCCTGTTGGTTTCTGCTTCTAAATATTCCCTGAACCACTGAGTCATTTATGTGTCAGTAAGTGCTTCTGTTCTATATGTCAAAAATTACGTTCAACAGTTACAATTGACTTGAACTCAGCATACCATACATAGCATGCACTGAGCTTTCTGCCGAACAGATGCCATCCCAATAATTGACTGGGACCAAAAACATAACATGAATATAGCTGTGTAATTAATAATGTGCATCAATAATCAATGTAGCACTAGTGTTGCACAGGACAGGTGAGGATAAAATCTAGAAAGTATTTACTTGTTCAAATACAAATGTTTTGATCATATCTTTAACTTATTGATGCATTAAGCAATGAAATCACAGAATTCTTCTTCAATGACCCTGTATATGAATGTATAACGGGTGGGCCTTCTTGGCCCTTGCACCACGACCACAGTGATCTATTGTGCCTTTGACCCTGTACATATTTGGAACTATTTTTCATGAGAAAATCTAGTAAAAACTAAACATAATAGAAACTGAGATTGAGATTATTCTGTATATTAAAAATTCTGCATTCTAAATGAGAAGACATATTTTTGGAATGATACAAAATTTCAAAAGTATCGAGAAAGGACACCTCTACAAACAAACATGAAGCAAAGCAGTTGTATAACTGCATTTCTGGCAAACACGAGAAGGCAGATCTATGTAATGGCCAACAATGAACTTTAAGCAGCAATTGCTTTTGGTAGCTCTTGTGTTCTCCTCTGGACACACCACAGCAATGCAACTTTCATATCACAAAATTTACACCTTAAATATTAAAAACAAATTTCAGGATCCTATATTATGTGGTGCCAGTGTTTTCCAAAGTTTGCACGGCCACCACGACGACATTACTGATGGAAGAAATTAAGAAGTACAAAAGTGTGATGGCTTCTAGTGGCATGCCATTCACATCACAATTCATACAAATCTACTAATTGGTTGTAAAGCTATTAAGGTTGGCTCTGAGGTGCTCCTGGTAGTGACTGTGAAGAGTACGAGTACGATCTTCTAGGTTGTAAGACTTTGTAGTTCAGTAAAGTCCACCTACATTTCAGAGGAACATATCATCTTCACACGGCCCTCTGAAATGATGGTACACTTTTACCAAACTATAGTGTATTAAAACCCAGAAGACTGTCCTCTTCCTGTTAACGGAGGGCAGGCTCACAGATAGATCAAAAATACTATAAACCAGCCTCTCTTCCTAAGGTAAGAAAATCAGGCTAAAAAAACTTGGCAATCAATTCATCTGTATATTCTAGAACAATGTATATAGCATAACACTTGTATTTCTTAACACCTATAGACATGTTAACACAAATATGATTGCTTACACATGTTTCATGACTACAGTCAATCTCTCAATAACTTAGAAGCAAACAGATACATGGACAAGCTGTGAAAAACTCACAGACAGCAATCCTTCTACCTGTTACACTGGAAAGATGGTCCTCCCATGACACATTATAGGTCTTCTTCTCTCCTTTGTTCTCAATGGCATTTGGGTCAAACAGAGAATCTGCCATGTAGTTCTTCTGCTCATTTCCTGCTGCAAAGTAGACCAGTTCCTACACAGAAGATATCTGACTGAACATACTGCAATCAAACTTTAAAAATATTTTACAGATAATGTAATACACTTGTGACCCATCATTTCTTTACATATAAATCATTCTAAGTCAGGGAGTGATAATGCCATGCACTCAATAGAAATCAGGAAACAGCATGCATATGAAACTGATGTTTATTTAACAGTATTGATGCCCTATGGATAGGTGAGATTTGAGGCACGTCAGCTCCCAGGAATCTATATTCCCAAAAATTAATGCAATGGTTTCCCCACACTCATTCTTCATTGTTGTGAATATAAAATGACTCTTCCTATTTCCAAAAGAAAATAGAAGTTTAAACAAAATAACCTCATCTTACAGATAGGTAAATATCGTACGTTCATTGTAACTTGTAAATTACCGGTTATAAATTCACATATGGATAGAAACAACAGTTAAGTGGCATGAGAAGTTCCTTTTCAAATATGAAGAGAAAAGGCCACAGTTAAAAGCTGCTATGCAAGAACTGCCATTCACAGCAAGAAAAGGGTTAGTTTTAATTCTCGTCACATTTGATGCCTAAGAAAATACTCCAACTATTAGTATTTTGCATTTTTTAAACACTCAAATGCCATTATGCAGATCCGTAAATTATGATAAATATTGTGTAAGATTTGAGGCTTTCATGGCGGTGACTATGAAGAAAGCAGTCTTCTGGGATTTGGCACCGTGTATAAGTGGTGTTAATCGACGTTTCGAAGGAACGTATCGCCTCCATCTTCAGGGTAGAAGAAAAAAAGAAAGCAGTCTGCTTTTACCGGTTCTCACGGTCTCTAAGCTTGCAGATTTCTTATATATTTTTTTCTTCTACCCTGAAGATGGAGGCGATACGTTCCTTCGAAACGTCGATTAACACCACTTATACACGGTGCCAAATCCCAGAAGACTGCTTTCTTCATGATAAATATTGCTTCCTTGCCGGTTCAGTACAATCTATATGAAATAAAAAAATGCATACAGCATTGCACTAACCTTCCGATTCATCTTGCTTTCTGTAGTGCTGGTACCCGCAGGTGTTTCCTTAACACCACAGAAGCAGTTACCACAAGGTTCAACAGTGACTCGACTCACACCTATCTGAACATTTAGCCGCCCAGCACCATGCATCACAAAGTCAACAAAGCACCCTTGTAGCTGTATAATTATGAATGGAATGAATTTGACTTTGCGAGGCCCATAGTAACTCAATTCATGTGCACTCTCTGTTACCTGAAACATGTTTGTAGCCACATATTACTTACCATGCATTTACCTGCGTACAGGAATTCTGGTAAACCTTTCAAGTACATAAAACTCATTTTGAAAATGACAGGTTTTTATTTACACATTATTATAAAATTTACTTACATATAATTATCCTATAAATATACTAAATCTAAAGCATAAGGTTATTTGTTGGCAGAAAACAATCCCAGTCTCATATTAACAGCTTTACCAGTTACTTGAAGAGATTTTGGTGAAATAAGACATTTCATTTACCCCTACTTTAAATATTAATTATATTCAGCATTCAAAAATGCATATATTCAACATTCCAAAAAAAGGTAAAGTTGTCCTTGTGCTTAATTAAATAACCACTATGCCATTAAGACATATGAGGTACAGCTCCACCATTCCTGACAATGGCACTAGATGAAGGTGAGTGCTCAGCTGGCTTTGTGGCCCAGCTGTTCTACCCCCAGGGAAGAGCCCCCGGTACCCACTGGATAGGAGGCTGGGTGGGCCCCAGAGCTGGTCTGGATGCTGTGGAGCAGAGAAAAAGCTCTTGCCCCGCTGGAAATCAAATCCCAGTTGTTCAGCCTGTAGCCCAATGCTATACCAACTGAGTTACACAGGCACTGTTACAAAACACATCAATGTCCAAAATAACATTTAAACATTAAAACATCTTAATTATTTCCATTAACAAAATTCAATTCTTTATTATTTACATACTAAGCCAACAGCTCCAAGGCCAATTACAGACTCAGCAAAGTGTAGACAGAAGTAGTTACATACTGGACAAACACAACATAAAGTCAAAGACTAATTAAAGGTAAGCATTGGAGGAAAACAAATTAATGCATATAACTAAACAAACAAAATAATAATAATAAAAATAATAACAACATCACAAATCTAAGTTGCTATTAACAACTGAGAAATGAAAAGTATAGGTATTCAGAGAGAACAACAAAAATAATTAAATAACAAACAAGCATGGAAATTTCCATTTGCTTTAGCCAACAGAAATAACGAATTGAGATAATGTAGATGAGAATATTCTGTACCTTAAGAGTCACAGAGGCCTGTTCAAAGTAGAAGCCTATGTGATAAGTATGGCCTATGTAGGCAAGGTGGTGTTCACTAGACCAGTCTTCATTCCAGTAGATGGGCAACATAGAAGGAACCCAGCTCCATGCCCAGCCAGCCCATGACTCACTTGCTGAATCTGAAAAAATTTGTTAGTTTAATTTTCCTGTGTTCAAGAACATGTACTCAATTAATGAGGAAATATGTCAATGAAGAGTTCTTCAAAGAAAATAACAATGTACTATTCAGAGCAATCAGTTTTTATTTTCACACTGCATTAACAACTAATCTGTAATTACATAAAGATAATTCATATACCACTGTGGCCACATGTACACCTCTGGCATCATGGTAGGCTATTCTGTTTTACACTAATTATTATTTGTGGGTTACTCAGCAATGTTTTCAATAACTAGACTATATATCATCAATGATTTACATTGAAAAAGCACCATAACTGAGAGATTAACTTTTAAATTTTAACTTCATTGCTTAATTGCAAGTATATACTACATTGAAAATTGAAACAAATGTAAACACAACAAACTACTATTACAACAAAACTAATTAAAACCAAAATGGTTCTAGTGGTACTTCTTACATAAATACTGCAAGGCCATTTAGCAGTTGTTGCTAAGGCACAACCTCCCACTATGTCAGCTCACTGCACTGATTCCTACTGGAGTGAAGCTTACTGGTCTGCTTTCAGCATATGCATTAGTACCTCTCCAAACAGTTATGCCTAATGTGTAGCTGCCAATGAGACTAACAATCGTGTCAAACTAAGAGATAGATAACTAAACGAACTGGTGGCAGTACTGGTTGCAAGTTGTCTGGAACAGAACACCAAGAGCAATCTTCAGAAAACAAGGAATGCTTGTGTTGGATGAATGTGAAAGTCAATTAAAGCTGGATTCCAGATCTGTGATTCATGCAATGATTTCTGATTTTGTGGTCATACCTGGATGGATGACTTATAAGTAAGCCTTCTATGGATTATTCGAAACAACTGTATTCTGAAAGGCTCTTGGCAGGGAAGCATTTCAATCACCATTGACCAATAAAAAGGCCAAGTGTGGAACTCATGTGCCAATGGATGGCGACCTCTCTAGAAGTGATAACAGGTTTATAAGGATTCATATATCTGATGAAATGGATGGAGGAGTGGATGAGACTGAAGCCTGGAATGTTAGAAGTGAACATGTGAATGTGAGCAACGAACGAGAGATAAAAGATGGCAATTGTGAAGATAATGAAGCTGAGACAGGTGATAGGAATGTTGAAGCCAAAAAAAAGGCCTGTGACGTCAAGAAGGGAATTAAGTTCCCTGCACAGCATGTTTTCAGACATTTACTTTCTTTCATATTTGTAGGAATATCATTAAATTAATTCATAAAATAATTTGTGTGCAACATGTTTCCTCGTGCAGGGCTATCTTACATTCAGAATCATCTCCCATTCATGCAAATATTTTAGTATACTTCAGTCACAATCATCATAGTAGTCAAATCCATAATTGTCACTGTTGTCATCACTGCCCCTATCGCCAAGGGGTGAGCTTGTCAGCCCATTCAGTCCTCAAAATCCAGCAATTAAATCTTTGAGGATTATGAGTGATGCTTTTGCTTCAGCAGGTTACCAGCATATTACAAAACCCCCTATCTTGGAGGTCCAGGGTTTTTATTTAAAGTTTCCTTCCCTCATACACATTCCCTACCATGACTAACAAGTCCTGTCTATCTGCCAATAACCAGGGGAAGTGGCCCTTACAAGGTAAGACCTAACGCAGTGGAGAACTGGCTAGGGTTTTAAATGATTACTGTGAAACAGTGTTCTCCTCTGGAAATGTTCACAAATTCTCATTTTTAACTGAAAAAAATTCATTCTTGGAAATTTGAGTAATTTTAATGTTATAACAAGACAACCCTGTATATGATAAGTGTCTTTAAGTTAGACCACATTACAGTTCAACAGAGTATCTGACTAATGGCCGCATGCAAATGGATGCATACTTCAGAATTCCACCTGAAGAAGGCAATTTCAACTGTCAAACAATCAGTGGAAAAGCTTAAGTTACTATATTGGCAATGTAACGTGTTTAACTGATCTAAGAAGAAAACACACATGGAACAAGTTCAAGCTGATCCAAGCAATTTATACAACACCCTGTTCATATGATATTTTTGCTCTCACCAGACACTGTCACTGGAACAGAGTCCTGCATGGGATCTAAATCCTCTTCCACGCTTGGAGACTGTTCTGGGCGCAGCTCCTTGCCATGAAGAGCTAATCCTAGCAATACCAGACGCATTAACATGGGCACTTGCTGTTCTGTGAGGCTGAAATCCATTCTCCCACAGTGAATGTCAACTCGGGTTACTGACACTCGCTTGGCTGTTGCATTGTGGTAACTCCGCAATAAGTGAAGTTCCATAGAACAGCGGTAGAGTAGAGGTTCCTGCATAAAGTGACAGCAGGTTTTATAGTACTTCCACAGCAATCCTACTGAAATAAAGATATTTGAGGAAGGGCGATCATATGATCCTGAGTGACAACAGATATGTGAAACTATCACTTGTACAAACAGTACATTTCCATTTCAATCTATTAAATTTTTTATTAAATCACAAACATCAATCATCAGGACACTAGTAAAACTGTTTGCTTTTCTCTCTGACAGAGTATATGCAACAGTAAACTCCAAGTAATTGGCATCATTGGTGCTTCCTGTTGTTGATTTCCTTTGTTCTGATAATACTTATTTTGACTGATATGGTGGGCCTATCTACCTGTCTAATAGTTGTTGAGCTACAAGTGAAACCAGCAGCAGAAATTCCCATAACACTTTTCAGTACATAAACCACATGAATATAAAAATAGTAATAACTAAAGGCAAAATTCACTTTTTCATGTATCCACATCTTCAAGTCCTATTCTTCTTAACCTCATTAAGTCTCAAAAACAGAACGAGCTGCATCTTACCCTGTGTATTACATATGCAAATACTTACAAATGTATGAAATTATATTCAGCACAGTTACACACAGTTTATAAAGTGAAAATTATGTCTGCATTTCTTCAAATATGCCTCTTTCAAGGTCTCAACTATCTACAACAACTCTAAACTTATCAAACTGTTGAAAGGATACATAAATCAGTTCCATGCATATTTGTCTTCTGAAGCCTCTAAAACTGAACCTGGGACACAATGGTGGATATTAATATGATACACTTATGCAGCTTGAAGAGTTCTACAGGAAGGTTAAAGTCTGGTGCAGTCAACTGTCAACTACAGATGTTTGTAAAGAATAAGTTTTCATTTCTTTATGTCAGCAACTTCTGTCTCACAGATATGGCATTTCTCAATCCATCTTGCAGAGGAGTGGGATTCCTAAGAAGATACTTCAGAGCAACCACAATTCATTTGCTCAAATTCTGTGTTGAATTAAATTGGACAAGTCATAGCACATAAAAAAATGGTACTACATCTTGAATAAGTGGTGTTAGCATCCTTTACAAGCATACTGACTTAGACTCAAAATACTTGGGAAACGTCTTGTGACATCTTCATTTATCTTTGCATATTCAAATACAAAAGTCACTTAAATCATCCTGGGAAGTCAATTCCACTGAGAAGTACAAGATAAAAATATGCATTACTAACAATGACAATAACTTAATGAAGAGAAGACAAAAAGGGCCAGACAGCATTCTCTGTTGCTGCCTTGGATATGACAATCATGACTGTTTCTCACAGTGCATCACATGAAGTTCATTAGAAGAAATTTTATTCCTCTTTCTTCTTTTAGCAGTTGTTGTGGTTGGAGGGGGACCACCTCTGTGGTCTAGTGGTCAGAGTTCCTGGCTACAGAGCTAGATGTCCCAGGTTCGATTCCGGGCGCTACCAGATTTTCTGGGAAGTAGTAGGTCTGGAACGGGGTCCACTCAGCCTCAGGAGGATAACTGATGAGCTACTTAAAAGAAATAGTAGCTCCGGTCTAGAAAACTGAGATTAACCAGTGTGGGGATCCATTGCGCTGACAACGCGACACCCTCTATCCACAAAAGATGGCACTAACTTCGCCGACAAGCGGTGGTCGCTTGGTCGGTATAGTTCGCTGGCCAACTACAGGCCACTGAGTTTCTTTTCTTTTATGGGAGAGGCACCATACACTGTATGGTGAATTATCCTCTGTATCCTTTAATAGAATCAAGATATGGAATATGATTTAATTACAAAAATTAAATCTCTCACAACAAAGAAATTTAGTGTGAATGAATCGACATATAGTGGTGTATTTCTTACCTGATACATTTCTATCTTTCCTGAAGCATTTCTCTTGTCTAGGCAGATAGTAAGATCAGCAAGATTAATCAGTTTCCGCAGCATTATTTGTGTTGGTGATAGGTCTGAAAGAGTTTATATTTATTTAAATAGGGCAATATTTTTTACATCTATTGTAAAATACAAAATATCATTTACATAAGTGTGTGTAGTGTAGGTGCAACAGACAGAAATATAAGAGTACTACTTAAATTCAGTGGAAGAATGGAAGGTTAGAATGAACTGGAATAAAATATGACGAGCATACCAATGGTAACTCAAAACATGGTATCTAATGTACCATAACTGATCTGCATATCAGCATTTAACACTGTTAACAATCAGAGTGTACAATACTTTCACATGGGAGTGCTATTGCTACACGTGTTGATATATATGGTTTTCAGTTTGGTACATGAAGAGAGAGAACAAATATTTGCTGCCAGAGAATCTTCGTTAACTCCATTACACATACTCCATTGGATTTAAAATTTCCAAATACTAAATAAATAAGCATAGTACAACATGGGACATAAACTGAAGAGTTCTATCTTCTGGATTATCGCCATTTAGTGTGTTGACAGTCAAGCGACATTTCCGAGAAGCACATCACCTCTATCTTCAGGGTCAACAAAATAAGGCAAGGAAGCAAGCAAGTAGCAAGATACAACATGCACCTCCCAAATGCAGCTTCATTTTCAACAGACTACACAGCGTTACATCCCAGAAGAACTCTTTGAAACCACTGCTGTGAAAACCTCATATCCTACCAACTATTGCACATTCTAAACATGACAAGTTACTTACTCTGAAATAAAAAATTTTCATACAATGAAATGTTACTAATTGTGCTGACCTGTGAAAGCAGGTTGCCATGACTCATTAGCCGACTGCAAGGTCACAGTTTTCACATTGACAGACAGGACAATATCCTCTTCCACATATTTGAGGATTAGATTGCTGCAGAAAATGGTAATGTTGCTCACAATCTTGTTCACTAGACTCTGCACATAGCCCGGAGGTGCCACCACATCTTGTCTGTATGAACAAAAATCTTCATTTGTTGAGCTTCACTGATTGTGTTTCATAGTTTCATTATGCACAACTTTGTTCATATAAACGACCCACACATCTGATTAACAGACTAAGAAAAAATAATGTACCTGGTAGACGGCTGTATTAGTTAATCCATTGTAGTTGAGGTTTTTGAGTACAGGTAAATACACTGGGCTGGGATTGTTTCTGGGAAACTCAACACTTAATAATTAAAATAATAGTTCACTGCCTCCAAGCTGCACCACAGATGCTACTGCAGAAATGTATTACTGGGCAACTTCTAAGATACAGTCAAACACAATCACCTCCTGTGTGAAAAGCCAGTATTATGTATTAGCTGTGAAGATGGAATAGTTCTATGAGCCAGTACTCAGTTCATCCAAGTGTTATAACTGTTCTGTATGCCAGAGCCAATGTGTTAATGCTACTGAGAACCATTAGCACAGTCATCTTCCTACGTTTGTGTTTGTCTGCTGCTGCTGCTGTTGTTTGTATTATTACTAAAAACACGAACTTATCTGGCACTAAATATCTGCCAATGAGTTCAGTGCAATGTTTGTGCCTAGGTGCTCCAGATTGCACATGCATTAGAGACTCTTTCAAGGAAACATACCGTTTGCTGGCTTTCCTTCGACTATCCCTGGTTGTATTCGTAGCTGAACTTCCATGACTTGCAGAATCAGACCCTACTGAATCTTCCCCACGCAATTTAAGTACACATTCTGAATAGAAATAGAACATAAGATATAAAAGTTTCTGATGATGGTACACTAATACAATTATTATGTTTCTGGCCATTATCCATCATCCCGTTTTTATTTATAACACGTTTTGGAGGTTGGATTCTGTCTCTGAAACGTTATGTTTTAAATAAAACAGGTTGACGGATAATGTCCAGAAAGATAATAATTGTACAAACAGAATATGCGTAATTTCATTTAGCAGTTTTACAACAGGTAACTTTTAGACACAAATATAATGAAGTGCACTGGAATTTATTACTCATCTATATAAATAAAAATGTAAATGTTCGTTTGTTACCCCTCGAAAATCTCTGGAAGTTCTTCACTGGTTGCTTCGAAATTTTGACACAACGTTGCATTCGAATACGTGCGTTTTTATATACCTACTAGCTGTACCTGGCCACGCGTGAATCCGGAAAGTATACTTCCATGGAAACGCAATACCAGTTGCATAGGAATTGCCGAAACAACAAACATGTTTCCCCTGAGATTAAAGGATAAGAGGTTCCGTTGCGTAACAACAGATGAAACCGGAAAGTATACTTCCATGGAAACGCAATAAGAGTGGGCCGTTGCATAGGAATTGCTGAAACAACAAACGCGTTTCCCCGGAGATGAGAAGATAAGAGGTTCCGTTGCGTAACAACGGATGAAACCAAACACTTCTACAAGGTGTTCTGTGCTAGCATTTCCTAAGCAACAGATGAAACTAACTCTTCGATAAGGTATTCCTTATCCCATCTGAACGCTGGCTATATGTATAAGAGAGTGTAGCTCCGGCAACTGTTCAGTATCACGAGTGTCTCGAGTATCACAAGAGATTCCTAGTGAAATCACAGCACAGATCCTGAGTTTGCACTCAGAGTTTTGGATTCGACTCTGGCAGCGTTTCCCCGGTGATAGACAACAGAAGGCTCATTGTATAGCATCCGCCGAGGTATAAATAGTCCAGCTTGTACAAGAAGCAGTCAGTCTCAGGGCAGATGCCGAGGGATACAGAAGAGAGTCTGGAAGTAACCGCCGAAGGAGTCAGTCTTGGGATAGCTACCACCGAATATAAACAGTTTTGATTTATTTTCATTTTGATTTAATTATTTCGTGTGACACTGCATTGGAATTGGGCTGTGTCGTTTACCATAGCGTTCATTTCATGAGTATAGTTTATTTTTCATTGTTTTTCATTTCGTTTTCTTAACTGTTTTCCTTATTTTTCAGTGCAATTGGCGGTGGGATTGAGCTGTGTCAATTGATATGCATTTGAATTGAAATATTTCGTTAGACTGAGCCACAGCAACACGTGGCCGGGTACAGCTAGTTCTTAATAAACCATTTTCAAAGGAGAAAGAAATGCCAAGGCTGAAAAGAGACCTCCTTTGGAATGCTACAGATACTAATGCCAGTGCAACACACAACACTATAACAGCAAGAACATATACTGACAAAGATGAATTCTTTGAAATTTTTCACACCTCATGGCGTTTAATATTTGTTTACTGCAGATACAAACCTACTGTTGCAAAACTTTTCAGGCTACAGCTATCACACTCTCAGAATGAGAAAGTATTTTTCATTGCATATCAGTAAATATATAACATACTGAAAAATGTTTCAATTAGGCTGTAGATCTTAATGAGATTTGTGTAACGTGATGTTCTTTTAGAAAACCAATAAAATTTTATGGAGCTTCATGTAGAATATAAGTTACATTTAACTGACATAAACCAAAATTAAATTTGTGCAACAAATTTAACTGCACACCTAAATACTAAATTTCATTTAAATCCATTCAAAAGTCTTGAAGATGGAATTAGCAGACAGATGGGCAAGTAAGACGTGACCTTTGCACAATATATTCATCTCTTAATTTCACTTAAGGAACAGACAAAAATAACAGTACCATAACCTATCTATCCCATACCCATTTCTTGGCTGTATGTTTACTAGTACTACTAGCACAGTCCAAATCTCCAGAATCTGCCTTGACTGGGGGATGTCCTACTCTGCTTGAATGGGTCAATGATTTTTGGTATGCTCCAAGAAATCTCCCTACATATGGGAAAATATTATGTTGCTATTGTGTTCTTACAATTACAATCATATCAGACCTATGGTATTAATTGTGATGGTAATGGGTTCTGAAGCCAGCTTAGTCCAAGGCACATGTATCAGCAGCTCATGAACATGGCCACTGATAAAACTGAATGGCAGTTGCAATTCCTGCTCCAATACCTCCAGCCTAAGGTCCAGGTTGTGGAATGAGACATCACCTCCCCATAATGACACCTGAAATATAAATATGGAACTGTACCCTCACTTGGAACAAGTGATGAAGGGGTAATCATTTCTTTATAAAATCTGTGAAGTATATACTATTTTCCTCAAACACAAGAAAGATGCATATTTATATATAAATTATCCTATCTACTATACAGAATGCTTAAAACTGAATGTCGTCGTAGGGTGAGTGATATTCCTGCTTCATATTTAGATGGTCTTTGGTTCAACTCAGCCTAGAGACTAGATACCTGACACGTTCTTTTGTGGTTTTCCTTGGTCCCTCCACACAAATCTCAGGATACTACTTTAAGTACCAATTCATTCCAATATCCTTCCGAATTAATTATTCAATCTTCTTATCATCCAAAGAAATACAGTCCGAGAGCTATTGACAGTATTATCAAACGACAAATATAATAAATAAATTAATAAAAACTAAATGCCTACAACCAGGACACAGAAGAATAAGTTTATTTCTTTTTGTATAAGTGTCAATTGTGGTTCCTTATTCCAAGAAATAGCATAATTTACATGTGTTTTAAAACAAAATGGTCAGAAAATGTCTGAACTTAACATGGATAAAGCAAGCAATTTAGATTACTAAATACCAAGGAACTGTGACTTATACACAGTTGTGTTGTTGTACTGGGGATATATGGATTACATACAGAATTTTGGTAGTAAAACCTTTCATAAAATGTTCAAAAAGGATGACAACATAATGATGGATATTAAGTAATTAGGTTATCAGAATAAGGAGTAGATGGAAATAGCTCAGGGTCAGGGACAATGGCAGGCCCTAGCATTGGTGGTGTCGAACCTTCAGGTTCCATTACACAGTAGCTAAAAATTATTTTGCCAGTTTCTGTCACACAATTTTGAAATTGGGAGCAATCTTACCTGTGAATCCTCAGGTCTAAAATTCTTTATGTACTTGTCAACATAGCTGAGCAATATTGGTGTGATGTATGATTCAAGCTTGAACATTGTCCTGCTACGGGGTTATCCAATGCTGTAAATCATTATGGATCTGAAAATAAAAGTATTGGATAGTGTGAATAAAAATTAGCACAGAGCTCTTGCTGTTGACTTTTCAAGCAAAGATGGAGATGAATGTTTAAACTATAAGGATTTTTCAGTATGAATATACAAACTGCATGCAGTGCCAAAGATGCATTTAGAGTTACTGACCCATGGTGGCCAGGCTCTCTCCATGACAGCAGCATTTTGAAAAGATTTGAACTTTACAGACTGATTAAATAATTTCCAGCAGATGCTATTTAACATGGAGATGTTGGATACAGGTTCAGACCACACAGAAATCCGCAACCTGGGGAAGAAAGAGTATACAACAATCTTCAATATAAGAATGTTCCATTTCTGATAGGTGCTTTGTTCAGCTGAAACAGATATTTCCAGCATTGCATTATAGAATGAGAGTGAATATAAGGGAAGACACTTTGGTAATTAGTAGCCGTGCTATATTGCACAACATAGCAAATCATTTAAAGAACAGCTCTAAGTTTGATGAATGTGATACTGAAGGAGCATGCTGAAGTGTTAAGACTCATACACAGGGATCAACTAAGACTAGATAAAATAGAAAATGTAACTAACCAACTTCAGCTAACTAATTACACTATTGAAAAATAACAATTATATTTTACAAAAACTGAAATATATTTTTGAATACTTGAACTTGTAACACACAGAAAAACAATGAACTGAATAAAGGGTACAGGAAATGTTGTCCTTACTTATATAATTAAGCACTATGCCATGAAGGCATTCTGGAGACTGGAAATACAGCTCCAACCATTCTTAACACTGGCACCAGACATATGTGAGCAGTCAGCTCTATTCCCTAGGGATAGAGTCATTTCAATTTTAATCAGAAAACCTGGAGGGAAGAAACCACTCAGGAAATTTAAACACTGATGGGAGGAAAATATTAAGATGGACCTTAAACAAGTATGTTGTGACAATGTAGACTGGATTCAACTGCATCAGGGTAGGGTTCATTGGCAAATATTGTGAATATGATAATTCCTACTTGTGGTAAGACTAACAGATCACTCATCACCTAAAACATGGCCTTATATTCTACACAAAAGTCAGAAGTATGTTCCACTGAAAACTATAGTGAACTGCATCAGCTCACCAATGCATTTCCTGCCTAAATTTCTAGCAAGAATGCTGAGTCCAACACCATATTACAAAGTTCTGAACACCTTGCCCAAAAACTGCAAAGCATCAGCCTACAGTAGGAAGGAATTACAGTGGTTTCACACACATTTCCACAGTGTCCATCTGACAATCACATTCTCAATGCAAACAGAAGAGAGCAAGCTGTCACTCCTCAGTGTTCCAGTAGAGTGGAAGCCAGATGGCTCATTGGGCCACAAAGTCTGACTCCATGCATTTTTCACTGAGTGGTCATGCTGCAACAGCCAACAGGAAGCAATGCAGTATAAATACATCATGCAGGCAACACAATGATCACATCAACCTCTGATTAGCGAGACTGAGAGTCTGTGAAACAGTAGATACTGACATGGCTGATAACCCAAGACTTCATTGCATTACATGTGGTATTTCTTGATTATGTGAGCAACTATTACGTTTCCAAGGGCTACATTTAACTTGATTATGTTAGGTTCGGTTAAGTGATGTTGACTCAGGCTGAACAATACCGCAAGTAAAGTCTGACCATGTAATAACATGGCAGTGCTGGGGTAACAGACCTTTATGATAATAGGCTTTTATTCACTTAATAAACACAGACTATTTTCCTATTTGTAACCATCAACTGTTGAACACGGTGATGGAAGGTTATTCGTGCATTAGAACGGCTACTTTACGTTGCCATTTAGTCAATCCAATTCTTTCACCTGACTAGCCACCAGTAACCCTTAACGTCGAAATCGTCAAAATTACCTTTTATCTACACAGTAATTACTCTACAGGTGCGTAGTGACTAGTGACCACGAAACCGAACAGCTTAGACACCTGTACAACACACCTTTACGAAGTTTACGAACACACCGATCGAATCACAACCACTACCACTAAACACCATTACGTACGTGAACTGTGATCATTACCACGGATCACTACTGCTCCACTGATCAAATTTATCAAATACGCACGAAGTTGTCATGTATCACCTACACTGCAGGGACCGCAACAATGCATCTAAACCATGCACTCACTCGCTGATGCACACACGTAAACCACGTAAACCCCTGCATTGTGGGCCCTGCCACGGATCATTACCCAGCAATTGCTCATGAATCGTGTAAGGAAATAAATGGAACGGGGGCTGTGCCGATTGAAATGTTTGGCTCGGCTCAGGGCAGGGATATCTCAGAAGATGGTAACTAATCTTAGGGCTTTTGCACCATTGGCGTATAGTTTGGCATAATGTTTCGGAGGAACCATCTGCTTCTGTATTCAGGGTAGAAGGGGGAAGCAATATGGGAAAGTACAGGGAAGGAAAAGGACTGGGCGAAAGAATGAATGAATGGGAGTAGTGTAACAGTGTGTGTCAATCTGTGGTCCTTAAAAGAGACTGAATAGCAGTAATGAAAGATAAAAGTTAAAATTCAAGGCTGATGAGGAAAGTAATGTAACAAAAAATTAGGAGTAAATAAATAAAATTATAATCACAGTGACCTCACGGTCTCAGGCATGAACTGTTTTCGTCCACTCAAACACTGGGGTTGTGGGTTCAAATCCCACTTGAGGCATGGATATCTGTGTCTGTGATGTTCTGTGTAGGTAGTGGCCTTGCAATGGTCTGATGCCCTGCCCAGGGAGTCCTACCGACCACTACCGACTGCGTATATGACTAAGAAAAGAAAAAGTGGCCTGGGTCTGAAGAGAGAGAGAGAGAGAAAATAAGTCAAACAGTTAAAGATCAATACATAAAATAAAGGAAGCTAACAGAAACAAAATAAAAAGCAAAAATCCAGGATAGTAGTGTTAAGTGAATGGGATTGTGGTAAGAAAACAGGAAGTAAATTTATTTTGTATACATTTACTTATGCTTATTCTTATTTAATTTACAGACTTGCTGAACATCTGGAACTTATCACAAAATTTTACCAAATTTTGGTAAGATCCATTGAGACATTGTCTTCTTTCTTGTTTTGGTGCTGAAGAGGGCAAATCATATGCACCACTGCCAAATTGACACTGAGATTTCAGCTGGCACCTGTGAATACAAGTTTCATGTATATCTAAAGTCACTTAATAATAATTCTGCAGCTCACCAAGCCACATAATTTCTGTATGATACATTTCTGCTCTTTATGTGTCCACCCAAACTACCATAATGTATGTTTACTCAGAAAGTGAAGAAATAAAACTGTACAGTAAACTCTTGGTTATCCAACATATACAAGGAATGAAGTTTGCTAATTACATGTATTTGCTGGATGCATGAGAAAAACTCTTGTAGAAACCCAACAGATTGTCTAAAGTAATTCATTTTTGCTTTAGTTCTTGTGTGGGTGTCATTCTAGGTGACACAGCATATTGATGGACAAAAGATTTTGGACACATACACAGTAAAGCGATCACAAATTCAACTAGCATCTATTGTAATGACACATGCCTAAGGGAGGATGATGGGTAACATTCCTAGTGGCTGTTGGGAGAACTACCAGATGGTGGGTGAATATATGTGCATCACAAATTTGTTTTTCAATAACCTTTAAAAACATGATCAATTTTCTTATAATTTTTTGCCAGTTGGATGAGAATTCTATATGCATATATATACCAGATAACTAGGAGTTTATTGTGTTTTCTTTTCAGTATTGCTTGTTAACTGCTACTTTCATCTGGGAAATACATAAAGTCAGATATAAGAAATTGTCTCACAAGGAAAATATTTACTCTTGGCTTCACTCTCTAAACATTCACATAAAGATTAAAATGAAAAACCATCTAAAAATGTGCTGCAGCAGTTATCCCTTCAAAGACACCATTACTGGAGCAATAATGAATGGCTTGCATCACTTCTTAGTATTTTTTATGTAAATTTGACATATATATAAAAGTTCAGTTGCTCCTGTCATTAGAGAAGCTTTATCATTATCGGTGTCAGGAAATGCACACCTTCATTCAGCAGGTACTGGAAGTTGATGTCATGAGTACTGACATAATTACAAGTTGAGAAATTAATACCTTACTGAAGAAGCATATAGTGAATGTGAAATATTTGTAATCACTTTTCATCACTGTCTGCATGAAGCTTCATTCTGATAAGTGAGAAGCTTTCTTTTCCCATTCAAATACACAGACACATTTTCATTTATCGTTAAATTTGATGGCAATAACTAATGGACTGTTGGAACTACCAATCTAGAATTTTGTATGAATATAATTTATAAACATTGTAATAAATTATACATAAAATATTGTTTATGAATTAACAATTACAAAAGCAGTAGTGCTGCAGAACTTTTCTTTCAGGTCATATCCAAGAAACTGAATGTAGACAGAATCTGTACTTAATAAGTTATTCCCAGAAAGTAACTGATTACATTGAGCACAAACTCCTTAATAAGTTAACAGTCGCTCAGGTAGATAAAAGATTCACCACTTTTTGCATACCTGCAAGTTCACTACGAAGTTCACAATGGCTTACTACTGGTACCCCTCATGAGCCAAATGAATCCAGTAAACAAACCTATACTCTTATTTTGCAAAGAAGGTGACAAGAATTTAGCACATTTACAATCATAAGAAATGAAAAAAAATTAACTCACATAGGATTTGAGTGCACAAGCCCAACAAAATTATCCATGAGCTAAACTGCATTTTATTGCTGAATTATAAATTTACACTGTGTAAATATAACACTAATAAGATAACATAACTGGGAGTAACAGATGACCCCACTTGTGAATGGTGCATAGAAAAAGACGAATCATCCATGCACATCCTACGTGATTGTGAGGCTATAGCTTATTTAAGATTTTATCACTTGGGCCAATTTTTTATGGAACCAAGTACTATTATAACGCCCCCATAAACAAAGTCTTACATTTCATTTGAAGTGTAGGATTGATAAAGTGTTAAACAACAAAGGGGGAAGCACAATAGATCATTGAAAGTCACAGTACAAGGGCCAAAAGGGCCCACCCCTTATGCATTCATTCATTCATTCATTCAATAAGACAACGTTTATGAGATTGGAAGTCCATATTGTAATGAATTAGATTTATGAGTTCTGCTTGGAACTCCCCATTATACTTTAAAATCCTTTGGCCCAAGAAAACATCCAATATGTTATGAAATGAAGAATATTATTGTCTTCTGGGATATAACATCATGTAGTCTGGCCTACATGGCATTATATCACAGAAGATAGATAGTACTCTTCATAACCACTCTTCTGAGAACCTCAATTCCTACAATGTCATGAAATGTCAATGGCCAAGAGTATGGGGTGGAGGAATAAAGTTCTGATTTAGAACATGACACTTTCCATAATAGGAAATATTTTAAATGGAAGCATTGATGGTTTAGATTATACAACTGGTTACAGAACAATGGGAGGTTTGCAGTTAGCTATTACATTTATGGTGATGATATAGGCAAAGGTAGAAACTAGCACTACATTTGATCGAAAATTAGATTTAAGAATTCATTAAGTAAAACTGTTTAGAGGAAAGAAGCTAATCTATATAGAACAAATTCTGTTCTCATCTCAAAACAGAATTACTGTTAGATATTAATTTATTTACACTACTGATAAGATTACTTTATATACAAGTATATAGTTACCAAGAATATGCATACAGTATAAATATTATGATATCATGAAGGTAATTTAAAATATATATACAAGATTTGAATATAATTATTCACCACAACTTACAGTTTCTAACACCAAATTGAAGTCTTCACATGATGGTTCATTGGTAATGCAGATTTTCAGCTAATTGCTAAAAACACATTGATTCTATTATACTTTCTCAAAAATGTTGTTGTCTCACTTACATTCAATCATTCATCCAGTTAATCTGTAAGTATGCTGTACAGCAAATCAGTAACATGGGTTCTGTGAAGCTTGTGTCCTCATTAGACATACAGCATACATATATGTACACTAGAGAGAGTCAGTCATAAATGGACATAAAACGTAAAACATGTGATATTCAAACTTGGAAAAAACATTTATTTCTCAATATATATACCCTCATTCCATCACTTTGTCATTGTGTCAAAACCCGCAGCATAGAAGTTGTTTTGACTGTTGTCTCAGCCACTTCTGCAACTCCATGTCAACCTCTTCATCATCATCAGTGAAATATTTGCCACCAAGGTGTTTCTTTTTTAGCAGACCAGACAGATGGAAGTCACTAGGGGCCAAATCCAGGCTGTAAGGCAGATGTTCAAGAAGTTCCCACTGTAGTTCTCGAATTCTCTCCCAGGGTGCTTGGGCTGCATGGAGTCTGGCATTGTCACAATGAATCAGTACCCCTCTTGTCAGTTGGCCTGGATGTTTTCTGCAAATTGCATCCTGAAGCTTCAACAGAACTTCACAGTACTTTGCAGAATTCACATTTTCACCATGCTGCTGGAAATAGGCTAATATTACTCCCTGAGAATCTCTAAACATGGGAAGCATAACCTTTCCAGCTGACAGCATAACCTTAAACTTTTTGGTAGAAAATGAACTGGGATGTTTCCATGGCATTGAAGCGCCCTTGGATTCATGTTGGTAGAGATACACCCATGATTCGTCCCCAGTAACTATCCTGTTAAGCATATCTTCTCCTTCATCAGTATACTGCAAGAGATGTTGCAAGGACAGACCCATTTGGTTCATTTTTTCTCGATCCCTCACTTCTCTGTGCACCCACTGTGCCCCCACTTTTCAAAACTTCAAACAATCATGCATTTTGCTGTATGCTAAACCATGGGGACGATCTAGTGCAGTTGCACTACTGTCAGTTTGAATCAACTCTTCCACCCATTGCACAGTTGCTTCTGTTGCAATCTCAACAGGGTGACCTAATTGGGCATCATCCGTGACTTTCGAACGTCCTTGAGAGAATTTATTGACCCAGTTGTGAACCACTGTACATGACAAACGCTTCCCACTCAAAATGACTGGGTTTTTGGACAGTGGAAAAAGTTTGAAAACCTATTAATTTTGAGTGTTATACACCATCATCAGAACCCTTTAAAAACACTTCTCATGATAACCAGGAAACAATTCTTTATTAATATCATTTGCATTGAGTCATTTTATCCACAAACAGGCACAACAGAACTCTTCCCTTCAGTAGTACATTCGTTAAGCACGGTTGCCATTCTGACTACTGAAACAAGCCTCTGTATATGCACATGCACATCTGCTACCTAGACTGTCATGAAACTCGACTGTGCTGCTACTGAGTGCAGCGCGTAGAAAATCCATTGCTTCTATTACAACTGTTTCACTTCCTTTTGTGACCTATTTACTGACTCTCCCTCATATAAATACGTATAATAGACACAAAATTGTCCTAATAAAATTGCTGCGTTATTATACATTCAGAACAGTCCTGGAGTTGCGTTTCTAATTGCTATTACCTTCAAATATAATCTTGCAAATAAAATCCTTTCTATATGCCCTTAGAGTCTAATGGAGTAATGTGCTATGGTATTATTAATAACAGTTAAAAGTATTTTGTAACCTCAGTTAAGTAGAAGTATAATGAATATAGAAATGCTGTAAAGAGAAAAAATGATGCTTATTAACCATATGATCCATACAATTTGTTCATATTATCCCTACCTCCTTCTATAATATGGTATACAAATGGTCCTTAAGATATTGAAAGTAAATTTATTTCTGTCTGGTGTACTTTTGTTACATTTGAGTTCTTGGCTGAAGTGACAACAATTTCATCCACTCCAGACTAGTGTTCCTGATGTCGAAATTATACAATGTTCTTCCACCTGCTTCACTAACCCTAGGTGTTATAAAAGCCCCTGTATTAATAAAAGAATATTTAGTGGTCAATTTTTAAATTCATCATCACACTTAGATTAATTTTATAAAAATTAATTCTCATGTAAATCTAAAAGTGCATTGTGTTTGCTCCCTATTCTTACACAAACAAATGCACATGGACACACAGTACATGCATGCGCTCATGCACACATATATTTAACTGTTCACATTCTTCAAGTGGATAAGGACAAAATTCTTTACATATCATTGTGGTACTCTGTAGAAAAGAACGTAGACAATACAATGTTGAGAATTCAGAAGTTTATATAAATATAATTAAAATTTGTTGAGAGAAATGCATTATGCATATGTAATTATCTGCACAATCATTTTGAATTTTGCTCAAAAATAATCAGGACCCTGGTAACAGTAATTTATTGCTCAAAATCCGGTATGAACACATTGAACGAGATAAATACTAATAATATGAATAAATCAGAAGCAACTGTATCACACATGACATCTACCAGTTATCATTATGCCATTCAATCAGCTCTGTATTCTGTTCTTAAACTTTTCCATGTGATACATGTGACTTCTCATTTAAGAACACTGGCCCTTCTGGCCTTTATTTACTTGATGTTTGAGGTCAGTGAAAGAATCATGTTCTGCCATCTCTGTATAGTTAAAGCCTTTCAATAGTATAACTTTTGTTACTACGTTAACGTTCTAAAAGATAAAGATTTCTTAAATAGAAGGCAATATGAAGAGGGTTAACATATTAATGGTCTACATATATCACAGTGCTGTCTTATAAAAACTGGAAACTCATTCTTTGTAAAGTCATATGGGAGAGAAATTAATTTATTTTTCCTGAAACATAACTCTTTTTCTGAAGTCTGTTTTCAATACGTTTATTTTCTTTCCATTAACAGTAAGAATGAAACCACAAGCATGACTAGAGTCTTCTGAATCATAAATGCAATTCAACATTATAAAAGATAAAACAACTCCATCCAGTGTGACTGTTGAAGATTTTACTACTTCAATTCTTAACACCCTCACATGTTTTGGTCCCTATAGACCATCATCAGAGGGACATCAATACTCTTTGGAAACCACTATTACAATGGGTGTTCTGAATGTTAAAATACAATGTTTGTAATTCACAATATATACAAAATCCAAAGTTTTCACAACTACAGTGGTTGCCTTGGTATATTCAATTTTTTTATCTAAACTTTTGTTATTTAAGTTAAAATTTATAAACCAACTGGTTCGTGTCCCTTCTCTTATTGCCTTTCTTGACGGGGGCTGAACTTGTGCCACCTGTCTTTCTTGAGAAGGAGGTTCTGCAAATATACACGTATTATGGGTATTGTATTATTTCAGCAACCCTATTATATATATATATATATGTTTTTCTTTAACGAGTTTGTTGCTTCGTCCTACATTTGATATCCTGTGGGTTGTTTTGAAGGCTATCTTTATGTTGTAGCCTTCAAAAGAACCCACACAATATGTAAACTAATAAATTAAAAACGAGAAACAAACCCCTACGAACAAAGTGTGATATAAAAATAATATGCCAAAACTGCCAAAAAGTATACATCAGCCAAACTGGTAGAAATCTAACAACAAGGTACAGAGAAGACATAAGGAACATAAGACTAAACAAAGATGAATCAGTATTTGCCCAGCATATACTAAACAAACACCATCAGTACGGACCGTTGACACTAATCATGGAAATGACTGAGAAAGCCAAAAAAAGGAAGCATCATGAATATAAGAGAAAACTTCCATATTTATTGCTTTAATAAGCTCAACAAAAACACACAAAAGAAAGTATTAACCAACATAACATGTTCGACCTCATAATACAACATCAGAACATGCCCACATTAACATCACAGACACAGGAAGTATAAATACGTGAGACAACACACCATAGAACAGTAAAAACGACACAACATGCCACAGACAAACACAGGACGATATCAAATGTAGGACGAAGCAACAAACTTGTTAAGGAAAGAAAGAAAGAAAAAATATATATATATATACGAGGGGGTACCCAAAAGAAACCGAACTTATTTTTTTTTAACTTATTTATTCAAATTTTATGCGCAAACCTTCAATCCCCTTCAAAGTACTCTCCACTTACACTAATACACTTGTCTAGTCTTTTATTCCATTTTTCAAAACATTGTCTAAATTCATCTTTTGAGATGCTTGACAGTGCCTCCGTCGTTTTCTTCCTTCACCTCAGCAACATCAGCAAAACGCTGAAAAAAAGTTTTATCATTTCGGGACTCTTCTTTCAAAGCACAGCATGCTTCCACGCGACCTTGTTTTTGTTCAGCAGTCAGCAGTCGTGGCACGAATTTCGCAGCCACCCTTTTCATTCCCAAATCTTCTGTCAAAATTCGCTGAACTGAGCTCCAAGTCACTCCCGACAGCTCCACAATTTCTTCAATGGTCCGTCGTCGATCTTCCTTGATGATTTCACGAATTTTTTCAACATTTTCATGTGTTCGGGCCATTGCAAAAATGACGATCACACAAAACAGTTGTCACTATAAACTCTGCCGAAACTAGTCCTTACTTTCTGAAGCAATGGTAGTCGGCTTATCGACTCAGGAATGTTAGCTCTATGCGCTCATAGCGGCAAAACGCGGTACTACAAAAGCTCTGCCCACAAAAAAATTAGTTCGGTTTCTTTTGGGTACCCCATCGTATATATATACAATAGGGTTGCTGAAATAATACAATACCCATAATATATTTGCAGAACCTCCTTCTCAAGAAAGACAGGTGTCACAAGTTTGATCCCTGTCAAGAAAGGCGATAAGAGAAGGGACACAAACCAATTGGTTTATAAATTTTAACTTAAATAAAAAAGTTTAGAAAAAAAAAATTAATATACCAAGACAACTGCTGTAGTTGTGAAAACTTTGGATTTTGTATATATTGTGAATTACAAACATTGTATTTTAACATTCAGAACACCCATTGTAATAGTGGTTTCCAAAGAGTATCGATGTCCCTCTGATGATGGTCTATAGGGACCGAAACATGTAAGGGTGTTATGAATTGAAGTAGTAAAAACTTCAAGTCACACTGGATGGAGTTGTTTTATCTTTTATAAGATTGTTAGTGTGACGGACCAGAAAGCAATTCAACACTTTATGTGACATACTTTGTGTCTTTTAATTCTACAGCTCTTAAATCATTTAGCTCCTGCCCTGTAGTATACACAGGGAACCAAGTTTTTAAACGAAAACGTTTATAATAACAAAGGCATTTTTAATAATTACAGAGTATCAAATGGGGAACAAGCTTTTGTATTCTGTATGCGAAAAGTCATTAGTCATACAAACTTGTGTGTATGTATGTATGTATATATTTGTCAGACTAACAGTTGTTATAATAAAGTGAAAACCTTTTTTGCTTTTAAACACGGATATTGGCTGAAAGTTGTTCCTGGCCTGTTAAGACACCACCCACATACACGTGTGCACACTAAAGTAACAGCACCCTAGTGAAGAGATCTTTGTTAAACCTCCCTAAAGGCACACTGTCCTGCTCACATAGCAGGTATAGTGTATCTGCTATCATGCTGGAGAGCTCTGTGTACTGCCCGTGTAGCTTCTTCCATTTCATTTCTGTGCTGCCGTTCCTCACGTAACAGTGCCAAGCCTTTCCGAACTGCAGTGTTGTAACGCTGGCTGAGTGAAACCTCTGTGCCTCGCACTCGAGGGATGTGCCCTGTGTATCCTGCAATGGGTGGACACTCAGGGGAGATGTGGCTGTCTGTAATACATACATCACAGTGAATTGCATGATGCTTATAACTCTTAATATTTCTGGCTTGTAATGCTCCCGGCTTAAAGCTGACTTGGATTTGACAAGTGAACAGTTTCACTTTACCCATGCCACTCAAGGCAAATACTTAGATAATACCTCAAATTATGCAACAACTGCTTCCTTCCAAAATTCTTTATGTTTAATCATTCACTGACCATGCCACCAATTGACTAGTTATAGGCAACTGTCGGTGCATAGTTAAATAAACAATACAAATTAATATAAAGTTATTCTGATTGTTTTAAGGCTATTTAATGATTGCTGTATCAGCATAAGAGGTTACTTAACACCAGATGAGACATAACTGTCCATGATGGAGAGGGAGTGCCTGAATTCACATGGACTGGCTGAGGAAAAGCATGAAGCTTAGCGAGGATGCAATTCCAAACTAGAATTATAAATATATGCATCCCAAATATGAATTAGATGTGTTAACTTCACTGCTGCCTCAGATTTATATGGTTTGATCAATCCTTGACTTGTTTAAAAATCCTCCAGTACTTTGGTTTTGTAGCATCAAATTACGAATTGTGAAGCATTCAGATAGAAGCAGCCATGGCATAAATGAGGTATTACCTGGAAGAACCGAGAAAAACCACAGAAAGCATAAGCTTGATAGCAAGATTTTGGTGGAGATTGAACCTAGGACAACAACAACAGAACTACAGAACAACAGAAGTGTTAACTGGGAAACTGTGACATTCACTCACCTGGAATTGTGCTCTGTGACTGCTATAAGAGGCACTGCTCTCCACTATTCAAGTTTATTTTAAGCAATAAATTAATAGGTGTACATTTTGTTGTTAAACCAGGATTTATATTAAGTGCAATTGTATAACCATTATCTCAATTCTGAAGGTAAGCTTCAACAAACTGGGTGCAGAAGTCTGAGAACCACTGATCAATGCCATGCTTTCCTTGGCCAATGCATACCCCCATATTTGCGATTTTGATAGTGGTGTAATGCTTTCTTCACTTCATCTCTGGAGTGAATAGAGGGCATCTTAGGAGCAGACTGTGACCTGTGGCCATGTTCCTTCTCTCGCCTTATTTCCTCTCGTGACATTCGCCTATTGAAGTCCATCATACTATCATCTGCTGCCCGCTGGAATGACTTGCCGTATCGGAAATTCATGCCTGGGATGTAACCTGACAAAAAATAAATAAAATTTTGAAATTTGTCGTTTTCTCTGTTCCAACCAAATAAATGGGCATTTTCTTGCAATTAATTCTTGCATTAGAGTTCACCAACCTTGATTTTTCTTATGACAAATTCCTTTGGCTTACCACTTTTATTAATCAGCACCTGTTTTGAAAAATTAGTTTCTCAGGTAGGAACACCCAAGAGATAAATCACTACTGCCACTGATATGATGACAGTGAGGATGATGACTGACAGAAGCAACCTTAGGCTTAATTTAGGCTCTGAACCATGGTGTTGGCATGATTTTCCCATATTCCTGAAGTCAAAGATTCCACATAGCAGAGTCTGCACTAATATCCAGTTAATAATGCAGCCTGGGATGCTCTGCATCAGTCTTAGTCTCTTATCTCAAAATCATGATGTATATTATTTGCCTGTATTTGTTTACTTATCTAATTGTTCATTCATTTAAATGTTTACATATTTCTATTAGTATATATTTACATAATGAAAGGTTATATTAATTATTCTTGTATGTCACCAACATCCATTTTTTCTTTGTTGATATATTTATTTAATTACTTATTCATTTTCTTGTTTCTTTATTTATTTACCCCAATATTTGTTTGTATGATGGAAATTCAAATAATTTATTTTATTCTAAGGATTCCTCTGTTCATCTCAGTTTGACCCTCCTTACGAGCTATTGGAGTAAGTAGTGCTTTATTGGGGTCATTTTGTCTGTAGGGCTCATGGCGAACTGACAAATCCTCTGTACTGCAGAAGAGGGTGCTGCGAATAATTAGTGGACTTGGTAAACGAGACTCATGCAAGCAAATTTTTAAAGATTATGGCATCCTTACGGTTACTTCATTGTATATCTTAGAGGTGTTGTGTTACATAAAAAAGCACAAAGCAGATTTGATCCAGAATATAAATATTCATAGTTATAATACAAGAATAAACAAGGATTTTCATGTTCAGTTCTGTAGAACTACATTATTTAAAAAGAGTGTGGTAAATATGGGGATAGAATTGCATAGTAAGTTGCCTGACAAAATAAAAAACTCAGTGGGTTTTTCAGTTTTTAAAAGAGACTTAAAATCCTTTTTATTGAAACATTCCTTTTACACGATAAATGAATTCGTTAGTTTTAAATAAAAAGATGGATGGTGAAAGTACTCATATTTGGATGTCATAGCAAATCATAAGTTGTATACAATGATTTGTGTATTTGTTTTTTCTTTTTTCTTTTTCAAATGTAGTATCTACATATTGCTTAGGATTGTAAAATGTTGTTAGTATCCTTGTAACTTTGTAGGTTTGTTTGTTAAGTTGTACTCCTGGATAAATCAATCAATTAATCAATCAGTATAGTTTGTAGTATGCTTGTAACTATGTAGATTTATTTTGTTAACTTACATTAATGAATGATGTGTCCAAATGTTACTATGTAGCAAAACGGATGAAAATAAAATACAAATACAAATACAAATCTATTAACATGATGACTGTCATCCTTGGAAATTCGAGACGCCCACAATCTTCTGCATTGTATATTGCAATTCTACAGGAAAGGGCTAACAAAGGTTGTTAGAATGTTGCCTCAGGCAGCTTTGTAAATTGTTTTACTTTTAAAAATACGTAGTTGGGCTAATGAAATTACAGATATGTAGTTCATTATTACTCAACTGTCAAGAATTCTACTCCTACCTGTATATCCCAGCACATATCTGCGGGTCCTGTGTTTAAAAGGCAGCGATGGACTCTCAGTTTGACCCTCCTTACGAGCTATTGGAGTAAGTAGTGCTTTATTGGGGTCATTTTGTCTGTAGGGCTCATGGCGAACTGACAAATCCTTCACACTAAGTTCCTTGGAATAAAACAGATTTTGTACAATGAGACACTGGTAGTTCCTATAATTTAAGCGAAACTACTTTCATTTTCTTGTAGACATTTCAAAACGTACAAGATTTTAAGTAAATTTGACCTTCGGTACTATTTAAATATAGATAAAAGATAGGATTAATTTCTTGGTAGAAAATAAACCTGATGAAACTCCATTAAGCAGGTGTAATTGAAGATTATTTCTTTTTCAAAAGTGTGAAAGTTACTGTTAATTTGTGACTTTTCTGGATCCCCTCAAGCCACCTCACTTTTTAATGAATTAAAAGTGATCATTACTGGTAACTGACCATTAGGATAAATTTAGGAGTACAACATGGAAAAGCCAGAAGAGAAGCAGCAACATGTAAGTGTCTGAACAGGTGGGGCCAGCACTGAAACAAGTTTAACTCCCTCCACTAACACATACATTTTAGAAAATACAGGAGACTTTATGTTCTCCTTTAAAAGTTCCTGTATTACTTGAGTTTATATTCATAGCATCATTTTTCTTTTAGCAGTTTTAGTATTATTTTATATCCAAAAGTGCATTTCAAAACAAAGGAGTTTCGCTCCCTGTTATCTACAGTTGAACACCTAAAATACAATCCTTGAGTTGAAGGAGGCTTGGGACCCCTCTAGGCTCAGTCGTGACCCCTACCGCCCCTAAATCAATCATACAAAAAGAAGAACATCTGACACTAAAAGGTCCTTCAGCAGGGAGGCCCAGGAGCCTGTAAATGCACTGTTTCTTCCATTTACTGGGTCCAACTGACCACATTCCTTGCATGTTCTTTGAAAACCACAGCAACGAATTAATGTGACAATGAATTATTTCGAAAATATATTTCCCTTATAAGCTCGAATATAAGGCAACCCACTATTTTCCCAATGACAAAATCAGAAAAAATTCTAACAAAATGGGATGCATTACTTAGTTCTGAGGGTTGTAAGCATAACCGGAGTATAAGTTATGCTATTAAGAAACCAATTAAAAATTTAATATATTAAAAGTAATTCTACATACTTTAACAGTCGTACTTAGAATTAACTGTCAGACATCTTCATAATCATCATTTCCATATTTATTTTTAAGGGCATGAAAATGGTGAACAATCTTTTCCAAGAAGCAGTACTTGAATAAAACCGCCTTTTATTCAGGCTACTCGGTAAATTCAGTTTGACTTTTTTTTTTTCATTGGCTTCTTTCATGCAAGGTATCCGTACTAAAATTATATTACTTTCAGTTCCTCTAATATATGCCTTGAAATTACTGCTTAGCACGTCGTCTTCCATTTATACATCTGCGCTTTCTTTTTTGGGCTTATTGGTGACAAATCACATACCGTTCACCAATGCATGTCAGATTTTCTTTAATTTTCTGAGATGAAAACAGGATTCCTAACCATATGTCGTCTATATTCGTATTACAGGTTTTACACTTGAAATGAACATAGGATGGATCTGGAACTGAGACATGCGGACAGACAGACTTACAAGTAAGAACGACCAACTCTGTAAGCGTTAAATATGGCAGTGAATTTAATAAAGTTCTTGAATTATAGCACTTTTGTTTATCTGTCCAGAGTTACAATTATCGAATACATTAGCGATAGTAAGCATCAGTTATCGTCCGTGTGATAATGATCACCCTTCGTAATCAGTTTTCGCATACTTAGCACCATAAATGTAATTAATAAATCTTCTCCCTGATAACATCTTCTGAAGATTCGACTCGTTCTGCGTATAGGGAAATCGCCCAATACGGGCAGTCTTTTAAGGCTTATTACTAAGACAAATTAAATGTTAGATGTTCAAAGTGCGTGTAAGTGTTATTAATCAAACCACAAATACGATGGAATGTAAACAAATTATTTAGAAATATCACTTAAAGAGTTACTCCCAAACTAAAAAAATACTCCATCGCCCCATTTTAGGCCACCAGGGTTCCTAATATGAGGTTATAATACCTACATGCTTCTGTTTCACTGGAAGAGACCAATTTCCACAAATGCATATTTTATTAATGTTTAAGGTTTTAAATTTAAACTCTAATATAAATTCAGGCAATTCCTCCTCAAAGAAAGGCTGAAGTTCAGGACACTATAGCCACTTAGCGCTAAAACAGAAAAAAAAAGAAACAAGTTAACAAAATATTGTAACAAACTGTAAAAGAATCACGCTATAAAGATCTGGTATGTAGTTTCAAAGGCGACAAACGTTTTAGTGTTATCTTGAATAGCAATGCTCACACACCTCTACGTATACATGAAGTGTGTGCGCAAACAGTGCAGCTGACTCATTCTTCGCCTTCTGGGTCCTTTGAGAATAGGCTGCAGCAGTCCGTTCATTGTCATCTCTGGGATGAACAGTCACTTCCGTTTCTGGGTCTGTAGAACTGCTGATTCATATGAAAGACCCTCTCATTCCTGGGGTTGTGATTTCTAAGGTTTGCATTTTAATGATTTCTTCATATTGAACTCAGATTTGTTCTATCCTTCATCTATTACCTGTTTATCTATCTGTAAACAAATTCCCTTTCGGTTCCAGGTAAGATCCTTACGTTTTATCCTGAAATCTGCTTTGAAATACCTTCTTGTTTACATTTTGTTGTTGTTGTTGTTGTTGTTGTTAACGTATTCTAGTAGAGTCTTGTGCTGGGAATTTGTAATAACTTGGGCTGAGCGTGCGCAAGGAGCAGTCCTTTGACGTTTTTCACAAAATGTAGGCAGAGGAGAAATGCTGACAGCTGTAACTGGATTACTATTAACTTTGACCACGGGAGTACCTGGTTGAGGTTCTTTGTGGGCTTCAACAGAAGCTTGTTCTGAGTCTTTCTCGGCAACTAGAAACTCGTGTGGCCTGAAGAGTCGCTGTTAAAAGGATAGAGATCCGCTTTCCTGAAACCACAGGCAAAATTTTTAGCAATGGACTCTCTCATGTATGTGTTTCAAAATGACACGCCTTCCTTGTTTATGGTCACGACCTGGCCTGGATGTGCACGAAATCAATGTTCGATGTCTTGAGCTTAGTAGCACTTCAAGGGCCTCATGAATGCCAGCTCAAGAGGCTGAATTTTGTGGGTGTTGTGAGCTGATAAGAGTGTGATATACACGTGGCTTTCCCTGCCTAAATCGACGATTTCGAGGTTATGGACACGAGAGGAGTGACCGTCCAAAACAAGAATGACGTTTAACGTAGTAAATAAAGTGTCTGAACCAGTCTATGAACAAATCACTTTGTATCCAACCGGACGGATGATAGGCACACATTGGCCCCGGAGATGTGCAATTTATATGTTCCATTTTCATATTCCTTCTGGGAAAGGTCAGAAGTGGAGGGACGTAATTACCAGTAGGACTCAAACAAGTAACTGTTGTGATAAGAGCTCCATGCTGTGTAGCTTACTGAGCAGGTATCTGGCGCTTTCTTTTAAGGCCAAGAACCTTTCGGTGTTGGTGCTGAACCACAAACATCCCTGTCTCATCTTAGTTAAGTAGTCTGGCGAGAGATATTTAAAAAAGCTTGCATATGGAGTGGCACATTTTATGTTTTGGAGCATCACAGTTTATGTTTTAACAACACTCATGTTTCTAGCAGACAACCTAGGGTTTGCTCGTATGACGTTAAGACAAACCGACCGTCTGACATTGTTCTGATAGGGTGAAATTTCTTGATTTCTTATCTGTAAAATCACGATTTATATGATTCGCGGCGACGATTTCCATTTTTCAAATAGCCTCGTCAGTCTTTCCGATTTCAAAATATTTGTCAAACTCATTTCAGAGAGAAAATTCGCAAAATTGGTCTTTTATGCGTCTCTGAGAACTTTTGAAACAATGGATAGGCCCATACAACATGAAATTGTGTTTTATCACAAGTATAAAAATCCGACACCAAGTTTTTATTCCAAAGATGGCTAAAACATTAATTTCTGCATTCTAATTAATATACTCATTTCATGAGTCATTCTGGCCAGTATAATAAACTTGTGTGCTGATTACTTGGAAGGTCGCCTGCAAATTCTGTCCGAAAGGTAGAAATGTTCCCTTTATTCGATTTATTTACCACGGTCTCTTAGGACGACAGCGTCATCACAGCAGCCTAATTAACTTATGGGGAAATTCAAGTAATTTATTTAGGCAGTACCTTGATGATGTCCTTGGTGCTAGCTCCATACGGTTTGCCGTAGCGGAATTTAAGTGTAGGACAATGTCCGGTGTACCTAAAACAGAAAAATAAAATCACATTTGTGCTCTTACAATACGTAAATGCACCATATACTTCAATAAGAGTCTGCAATTCAGTTAGCAGAGAAGTATTTTAGGATACTCTAATCTAATTGTTAATATCGTGGAACTACTTACGTTAATTAAGATGAGTTTGAGTGTAACCTAGAATCGCATCGGTAATGGTAAACAACAGTCTGACGCAGATTCTTTGCAAAGAGATCTATAGGAGATGTTTTATCTCCAGTACATTTTAATTCTGTTTTAAGCACACTATCTGAAAGCGGAAGAAATAAGAAAGAATCTGTAATGAGCGGACAACACTAAACAGATATACTGGTATGCGTTGATGTTAATTTATGAAACAAAAATATAAATATCGTATGTACGCGGTAGCGTAGTTGGTTGAGGCACTATGCTACAAGCCGGAAGGTCGAGGGATCGAGTCCCGATGAGGTGAATTTTTCAATTTACCTGATCCTTCCAGCCGCATTTTGACCCCGGGGTTCGACTCAGCCTCTAACAGAAATGAGTACCAGGGATCTTCTTGGGGTTAAATGGCCGCCGGCCGGCGCGTAAGGTTGACAAACTTACCGCCGTCTGTAAGCCGAATGTCTAGAGAAAATGTGGGAGCCTCGACGTCTCACAATCCTATGGGCCTTCACGGCCTCTTACTGGGGTACCTATTTTTATTTACTGCGAAGAAACTCTTGTAGATTCTCTTAAGCAGACGGCAAAGGCGTACGCACAAAATTATATGACCAAAACACCTGTATCTATCTCATATTTTAAAGTAGCCGCTTCGTTATATAAGCGAACTTGTTTCTGATTTCGATTTTAAGTGACAAAATATATTCAGAACAATTCAGTTTGTATCGAATCAGGTTCCTCTTAGAAAGAATTATAATAACTGCGATTAAAACCCACACAAGGCACAATAATAAGTATTTCCTTAGGTAGAGAATTATCTTAATTATTTTCGCATAGCATTTCTGACAATTGTTACATAGTTCCGAAGAGTGAACTCTCAACTTTATTAACGGACCTCCTATAAGTGCGCGTCTGTTCCAATTAAATCGCAATACCAATATTACAGAAACCGCCCAATATCTGTGAAACTCTTTATGAAAAATATGTTATTGGACGCTGCTACATCTTAATATCTTCCATCTCAATATCATAAAACTATGAAGAAAGCAGTCTTCTGGGATTTGGCACCGTGTATATGTGGTGTTAACCGACGTTTCGGAGGAGACTGGTCTCTTCGCTTGCAGATTTCTTATATTTTTCTTCTACCCTGAAGATGGAGGCGATACGTTCCTCCGAAACGTCGGTTAACACCACATATACACGGTGCCAAATCCCAGAAGACTGCTTTCTTCATAGTCACCGCCGTGAAAGCCTCAAATCTTACATCATAAAACTAGCTACATGGCGGTGACGTGAATTTTGAGATGGAAAACAGTATCTTTCAATATAGGATCTTGAAGTTTTGTGTGGTTATAAACGTTTAGAAAATATTCAATTTTATTAGAGCAAACTGAGAACTGACAATGGCCAAAAACATTCTTACTGGGCGTGTTCGCATCCCTGCGGAAGTCCTGTTAAAATTCATCCACCCGTCTTCTCGCCAAGTATGAAACAGTTCGATGACCGTGGAACGAATTATCACGTAATAAAAAATGTGTTTATTTTTTGGGGTTAAATCGGACGTCAATAACTGCAACTTTATGTGAAGATCTACGGGCGTTTCTGTGCGAATCTTAAGTGCAACTTCGCCTGTCACGCTAAGTATTTGTCAGAGCGAAAAATGTTTGGAACAGACCTTGTGTTGAAAAATGAAATATATTTTATGCTCGGTGAGATAATCATAAATGTACGAATGCTATAGAGCTGTTTGCTATGCGTGTATTTTCTAACTTGTCATGCTAGCTATTACATATCTATACATAAAACGTGTATAATGGCATGTTATTAACATGTCTGCAAATATTTTACGAATAGGCGTACTTATGCATTTGGAGAGTTGTTTCTTGCATGCTAGTACATCCCTTTTGAATATGTGGTAGCAGGAAGAAAATGCTGGGTGCAAAATTTTAATTTACAAAGCAAATCAGACATTTTTTGCATATCCTGTTAATCTACTAAGGCCAGTCCTTCGTAATCTTAAAATACACCATGCCAATAATTAGCAATTTTAATATTTGTCAGAAAATATATGCCAGATTTCCACAAAAGCAATGCAGGTAAGCTTATTTCAAACGTAAATATTGAATCTCTTTTTTTTTATTGCTAGTGGGGTGGTACTAAGTCCCTTGTACTGCGGCCACATCTGGCCATTTGTACCAGCCCCAGATGATAGGTGAGGGTGATTGTGGAGCAATTGGCGGAATGAAGATGGCAGGGGAAACCAAAGTACTGGGAGAAAACCTGCCCCAGCGCCACTTTGCCCACCACAAATCCCACTTGACCAGACCCCGGGATTAAACCCGGGCCGCCGCGGTGGGAAGCCAGCGACTAAACGTTGAATCCGATAAGTCAAGGCATCAGAAAGAACTGTGATTTAAAAAACAGTAGTGAGATTTGGGGGGGGGGCTACATGTGAAATATGAGCTACGTTGTAGCTCAGAATACCTGTGGGCCCGAGTTCAGTTGTTGTCTTACACGTATAATTGTAGCTTCCGAGTTCTTCGTTTTAACAAATTTAGCGTCATAAATTTTAAAGAATGCAATTCGTTCTTTATGTAACCCAAATTGATCTGACAGACTTGGGTTGGGTGAACGCAGGGGACAACAAATCTGTTCTCCATTACTCATCCACCTATTCGGAAACTGGGTATTCGATGGTTGAATGGATAGGACAAGAATTCAGTTCTCCTTCGCCCAGCTACTTAAACTGTGGATTCAATCGCTGCCACACAACTTTAGTGAAATGTACGGGTGCGGCAGAGATGAGAGCATGCCCCTTAAACTGTGGAAAAGCGTAAGGTTATAGAATAATTAAATAGGCCTAACAATTCTACATACTTCATTGCATGTAAGTGGACATTAGGAGTTCTCCCTTAGGAATATTTCTCACCTTCTGGGTGTTCGGTGAGTGGACTAGAATCCCAAGTTAGACAACTGTGCCTATTTGCAGTTACTGACAAGTGAGAAACTTCTTCACGAGAAAATAGGACTTTGCTCGTATAGTCACCTCCATTAGCAGACTGTAATGATTTTCTTCTTCCTTTAGCTTCATACACGTCAGCGAATCAGTTTCAAAGCTAGGCAGTCTGTCTCTTCCTTTAGCCTCATACACGTCAGCGAATCAGTTTCAAAGCTAGGCAGTCTGTCTCTTCCTTTAGCCTCATACACGTCAGCGAATCAGTTTCAAAGCTAGGCAGTCTGTCTCTTCCTTTAGCCTCATACACGTCAGCGAATCAGTTTCAAAGCTAGGCAGTCTGTCTCTTCCTTTAGCCTCATACACGTCAGCGAATCAGTTTCAAAGCTAGGCAGTCTGTCTCTTCATTGATATGTTTACAGTACTTAGCTGACAATGGAGTCTATCCAAAATTTGAAAAAGAATATATACATTTATTTGCAAGCCATAATTTGTTTTGGCGACAAATATTTAAATCTGAAATACTAGCGATTTACGTGTATATGGGAACTCTGTATTCTGACCAGTGTTTATGATTTTCGAGTGAGTTCTGTGCATCTTCCTATAATAGCATCATTGGTGAATCAGTGATCGCGTGCCGTGACTGTCTTGCACTGCCAGGCACCATCAGTGCATGCTCTGCAATTTGCACTCTTATAGAACGTGTTCTAATACCCGTTGAAATTTGCCACTTCACGAAACACGTTACGCAATATTGCGAAGCTTCACGGAAAATATTTTGACCCTTCTTTAAAAGACAATACGATCAACCATTACACGAGTTTCTAATGGCATGACCACAGCATATTGCTAAAAAATAATTCGTTATTTGCACAAATTGTAATAAATGAATGGCAAAGGGAGGGCAATGTGTCTGTCCGTCCGTCCATGTTTGATCTCCCAACTACTAAAGCATGATGTGACGTCGTATAATCCCGTACAAGGCTACACAGCGTCACCACTCTGAGTCTCATTTAAACATATAAAATTTCAAAGAATTTTGCTATTTGGATTCAATTTTAAAAGTTGCCGGGCAAAATGTGGGCTTTTGTTTGTATCTGTGCAAAACAGTTCCCTAAAAATCAATTAACTGCTTAGTAAAATGTAAATTGAAATAAGTTATAAATGTCTTTATTATTAACTGAATTTACAGAAATTCTTTGAAATGAAGTCCTCCATCTTCAGCGCACGACTCACAACACTGTGATACTGTTCTACAACTTGACTGGCAGGTTTAAATCAAAACTTTTCCGTTAATACGAGAGAATGTTTCAGGTTAACTGACTTTTGGTCCGCTCTGTAAAATTGCTAACGGAATTTCACCTGACGCGCAAATAAATCTTTGCCGACGCTCTAGAATGTCTCTTTTTAAAAAATTGCAACATCACATAAAATATAGTTCCCATAAGAAGTAAAACTATAATTTTAAAATCCTTCGATGTGATGTACATTCAATGAAATGCAAGTACAAAAACTTCTGTATGTAGTGGCATATCACAGATAAAAACTCGGAAATTCAACGTGTAAGTATGACAGGGCTCTAAATTTAGACAATAAAAGTGCAAACAAAAACGCCAACGGAAAAATAAAATCGCGGAATAATTGGAAAACAACCGACAAAATAATTACTACATACTCGCATTTGTTATTCCCACTACTGTAGGGCTGCTAGGTCGCGACTATTTGAATTATCCTTCGTTACTTGAGGTCACGATCCACCTACTAAGAAACACTGATGTAATCTGTTGTTGACTTAATTGGCGGAAATTCCGGAAAATATATTTATAATCATTCATTTAATGAAGACTGTCAAGGCTCTTATACTGAATTAATCTTAACTACTCTTAATACCCC